TTACACATGATTTCCCAAATTTGCCATGCAGATACACACCTACACGCCTCCGTGTCACACTCCAGGTTGGCTCTATTTCCCTTTTCGGAGATCTACAAGGCTGGCAAAGGGGGGGGGGGGTTGACGAGGGACAGAGTTGCTCTATTTCTTACTCACGTTCCACAACCACGAGGTCTCTCTCTTTGCAATTTCCCGCCTTTTCCTGGCTCTGGTTGCATTGCATTAGTAGGCTGTGTATGTGCGCCTCTCCTACTTTCGCTGACCGAGTGGCAGGGCTGTTGTGGAACCCAAGTCTTGGCTCGGTGGTCAGCGCCAGACCAGCAGGAGAGATGTTGATAATGGTGGGTAGGTGGTGGTTACATGCAGGTCGTAAGGCTGGTGCGGCTCAAGTGAGATATCCTAAATCAGGTTAGCCTCTGTGTTTCCAAACCAGGCAGCCGTGAATTTGGGACAGGAAGGTGTGTGGATGCTTCATATTCCCAAGCCTTTCTTGGACGATTTTAGCTTATGTCTCGTGGCGTTGGGGATTCACTAGGGGCTGTGAAGCATGATGTACATACCTTATTTACTTATTATCCTGCCGTTGCTGATTGCTCGGGCGAATAGTAGATACACGAAGTATGTACATCGAGCCTCTTAGCTCATGGGCGTGTAAGTGATGTATTAGCTAAGTGAAATAGGACTATCGACTTCAAAGTCGATGTGGAGGCAGTGAGCAGATGGACACCGACCGACATGTTGCTAGGCTTCCCCTGGTTCGTGCTTTCAACTGCTTCAGAAACCCGTTATCACCGTTACTTGTTCTCTTCTCGACTCTGAGTCCATCAGCATACCCCAACCGACGTTGTCAGTACACCACTACTGACAACACATGAGCTTCTCATGACGGTCAGCCGAAATTCCTTCCCCTGCACACCCTTTTCTGCGTTAATGAATGATCATATGCTCGGGTACCACCGGAAGGGGTATGTCGGCCGTCAAATTTATCCCCGACCCCAGGAACCTTCCAGGTCTCTTCTGTTCCCAAACCAGATCCTGCATCCACAACAAATCGATGCCCACCGCCGCGAAGAGCCGGCGCGTCGGTTCCTCCATTGCCGCAACCATGTTCTCATTCCCGGGCGACTCGCATTCGCTCACCCCAATGTGGATGAGCTTGAGATGCGGGAAGCGGGTGGGTGCCACGTCTGCTAGGTACTTCAGTGTCCCTGACATGACATAATGAAGATACCGAATCCTAAAAACGCGAATCGATGGCGGTAGCAGCGATGCTAGTCTCGCTTCGGGAGCATAGGGCGTGACGACGTCCCGGATTAACCGGCAGTCGAGCGAGAGTTCCTCCAGAGCGCCGCATAATCTAAACCGTTCGCTGTGGCGAAATTTGACATCCCACAGCTTCATGCCATGGTGCGGCTTGAGGTGGTAGGATATGTGAAGGCTCTTGAGTCGGTTTTGCACCGGCTTGAGGGCCCTTCGCCAGGAGCAATCGTAGTTCTGGTTGGTGATTTCGAGGCGTTCGAGACCAGGCAGACATGTCAACAGCTCCTCCAAGTGAGGATCCCGCATTCCCGCAATCGATAGGCTCTTCAACTTTGTCAAAAAGTCCTTCGGGTTTTTGGTCGGAAGCGTGCCGCGCTGAAGAATCCAAAGGCCTCCCGTGCTAGCATGGATAGATTCCACGTTGGGAAACATGTTCTGCATTCCGGCGAAATTGATATAGAGTGTGCATTGCCTGGATAGGCCGACTATGACACCCAGACGACGGATCGAGGGCATTCTCAGCCCCAGCCAGCTTTTTTCGGGCCAGATGGGGTCGTGGTCACTGTAACTGACGAGAAGACTTTGCAAACGAGGACATGACTGGATAGCCGCTATCAAATCTGGAACTTCGCCTTCTAGCATGCTGTAGTCCTTTATTGGCGTCGGTGGCTGTGGCTTCCTCGAGTGTTCAGCGTATAATGTACTGGCAGCTTCCCACACTTCGGGGGGCACTTCTGAATCCGACACACTGCTGTCGGAGCTGGAGGAGTCCGGTGAGGTTAGGCGATAATTGATTTCCAGGTCCCAGCTTGCAACCTGCATAGCATCGACGTATGAGGCCAAGTCAGGTCGCTGTCGGATGGTACGGGTGAATTTCTGAACCAGGTTCGGCTCGGGGGTATTTCTGATGGGCCTTTGCCTGGTGATAACTGTCTGTCTAAGATGCATGTTTCCCGTCGCATAATAGTGGTACAAGATCGGATAGGCTACCGCAGATATGCGTCTTGAGATTCTGCAAAGGAAAGCCAATGCTCTCTTGTCGTCTCGGACCTCTTGTGTATCTGCGTGAGGGAAGCCGGTGGGGTCTCGGCAATGCATACAGAGGTAACTCAGGGTCATTTGAAGGATCTCGACAGGTAGAGACTCCATTGCGCAAAATTTCGACTCGTCGCGGGGCAAAGAAGGCAGTCAAGGTCAAGAGAGGTGAGACGGCTCGTGGAAGTGGAAGAGAAATTCTGAAGAGGATAAGAGAAAGAGAAGATGGACGAGATACGGGTGAAACTCCTGACCCAGTAACCGTACGGCACAGGTACCCGAATCCATATTGACGGCCCAGCATTGTGTTGGAGCATCCTGTTGGTGGCGCTGGTTATTATTTGTTTGTTTGTTGATTGTCACTTGGCAAACAAGATTAAACGCCGGGATTGGAAGGACAAGGACGAGGACGAGCCGTCGCTATCGCACCTATCTGAGGCGACGTATTTTCTGTTGCTCTATCCTTTCATACATTTTCAACACTATCGTCACTTGGAGTTTCCGACACGATAGTGGCTGATTATGGCTAATGCTCGATGGTAGTTGAATGTAGGCGGGAAGGATTTGGGTTCTAACCACTGGAAGTCCAGACGTTGGAGGGGGAGGATTGGATGGGCCGCATAGAAGGTCCGGGCGCCGGCCCCTAGCAAGGACCTGCCTCCTTCCCTTGCGTACCTTGAAAAGTGCGAACCTCTGCTGTGCCTTCCCGTTTGAGGGGGCGCAAAGCTCAGACCTTTTGCTGCCCACGTTCTCCTTAGTCATCCCTCCGTACGGATATCTAGGTACTCACGTACCTTGGAGGGAAATCAGGAAAGGAAGGCCCCATGGCCCCCAACTCCCATCCCGGCGGCGGACAATGGGTGAAATGTCGCACGTGGCTTCGAGCGCACCCGGGCACTGCAACTTCAAAGTTCCTTAGGCAGCTGCTTCAGGAACATCAAGCGGCCCCTTTTGGACCCCAATATCCCAGTCGCATCCCCGTTCATCTCGTCCCATCTTACGGATACGCCTTCAACAACGACATGTCTTCAAAAGTAGCCTTTACGGAGTACAACCATCTTATCAGAGGCAATGCGAACATGTTGGCACTCAAAAGATACACGAGAACCGCAGAGACTAGTCTGCCCATTGAAAAGCCTGATTTAGACTTTGCAACAGGGCTCAAGGCACTATTGCGCTGCATCCGCTGACTCACAGTGGTTTCTATTATTTCGAGTCGCTCGAAGGATCATGGGCCTGCACCCGAGTACACCTCTTTGCCCGAAACACGAACCTTGCGGCAATAGCAGCCGTACTCTGTCATATCCGTCGCCCAACGCTACCGATGCGATGCACCTCTGCAATCACAACTGCCAATGACTTCACACTTCGGTCTTGTCCGATCCCTGATGCGCCCTAGACCGTCTTGAGTATTCTCGGTCAAGAGACTCAAGCTGGACCACATCCGTTTCGGCATCACACACCAGACATGATGACTACAGCGACCACTCGATGCCTTGTCGACTGAGGCCAAAGGATCTTAGGTCATCTCCAGGTGCGGACCAGCACCGCCTTCTGCCGTCTCTCCGGATGCTCCACGGGGCCCCCACGGAGCCAAGGCAGTCATTTGCTGCGAGCACTGAGCGGAGTTTCCGGCATCACCCATCTTCATACGCTTCCATGCCCGTGATTCAATGCCCGTCACTTCGCGATGCCTCGCGTTCGTCGTCACATGAGATGTCTCACAAGGCGATTTCATATACAGGTACCTACGACACCGGTGACTCTTTCGCCTGCTCACCTGCAGTGTCGATCACTGTCGGGGGAACAACCGCCGGTGTCTTACCAATGACGGGATCAACGGCCACGACCGACCCGTCCGCTGCTCACCGACCATAGGACTCAAACACCGAGCAGCTCCGGAGCTTTGTAATTACTACGCCTATCCAAAGGTAGAGACATACGGGCACCGCCGGAGGCAGTCGCAGCCTTCACTGCAATCAACGAATCAAAATTACACGGGTGACCGTCAAGCTGGCTGAGGCGGTTAGATCACTTGCCTGTCTCATCGGTTAGTTGCTCAATGGAGATGCGCTGGTTGCCCTTATGTCAGCCTCCATCCCCTCCAATCGACCCTCTACCGTGGCCCACCTTCGAGCGTCTTCAGTCCTCGCTACTCAGAAACTCGAAAGAAGAAGAACATTTGCACTGCCTCCAAGATGCTGACAGAGACATACCCTGTGGCTGCTACGCGATCTCATCCGGGCCGACCTGAGACGTCTCTCTAGGCAGGCTAGGCTGGTGCTTACTTTCCTCTGCACAGGTGGTCCCCTTTGGTCTACTCAGCCCTACACATCCGACCTCTTCCCTGTCGGCGCCTCTCCCATTCGCCAAACAAGACTTGCTCACAATCTTTTCCTGTCTCTTTTAGCGCATCGACTAATCATGATGCACCAGTCCGTGTAACCAAAACCCGTCGCCTTGGATTTCGTCCCTGTCCCTCTTGTTTCCAAAAGTTCGGAGGACGAGCCAGTGAGCCACACCCTTGGCCCTCTGACGACCAGAAACGGAAATGAGCCATTGATATGACAGCCTATTGCGGAGCTGCTGGGTTACTTACAGGGAACTGATTTGAGAGCCACATCTGCCCAGATCACCGCAATCCAGGCCTGCGGCAGTCCAGCGCATGGCGTTCCCCCCTCGCCTCGCACATTGCATCTCACATCATGACGAGGAACCTTGCGAAACCCACCATCACGTCGCCCGGGTTTCTGGTCTGCCGTATGCCGAGTGGTCTGCAGACCGATGACAGTGACACACACGCAGACACTACACGCATACCACATGCGCGCGCGGCGAGCAGTGATGGATGTCATCTTTACTTCGTTCATGTTGCCCAGGGAAGAGGAAAGGTGTTACGATACTTCCTCGTACCTTAGTAAAAAGAAGGCTAAGACTTGTCCTTCAGGGGTCCTTTTTTTTTTTTATTTTTTTTTAACTATTACCCGCCCCCGGTCGTATTCTTCTTTGGTTGCCTTGGGTACATGTCATCGCCCTCCACATGTCCCAAATTTGGAAAGCAAAAGGGCTGCCTAGAGAGAGCGAGACAGAGAAGCCGTGGGGGCCGTGCCGAAACTAGCATCGCAGGTATCTCAATCTCCCACACAAGCCCAACGCCCCAACCCCAAGCCGTTGCGATACCCGTTTACCGGGCGTCCGCGCCTCCTCGCACGGAGGCTGAGATGCCAAGTCGAGGTACCAATGGCTGGGTTTCTCTTCTGCTGCCCCCCCTTGACCTGAGGTAAATCGTAAAGGTACGTAGGGCTGGGATCTCACTCCGTACCTGTCTAAGGTACCTCACCCCTACACGATGAGCCTCATCAACGCCCAGCCCCGTCTCTCGATATGAGAGAGAATATGGATGCCTTGAGGCCTATATAAACTCCTTGATATATCCCCATCTGAGGCAGGAATATAATCCATCATCACACTCACAATCCGGCATCACAAGCTTAGACACAGCTCTCATACAATCTCAAAACAATCTCACGTCTCCTCTCTTATACACACTAACACCAACCACTTACACCATCAACAACCCATCTACCTCGCCTTCCACCAAAAGCTCAACTTCCTCCAACACACACACACAAAACCCACAAATTCAACCACAATGGCCGCCTTCACTCTTCTGTTCACTCCCGCCACCGCCGTCTACGGACGCTCAGGCTACAACAAGGACGGCGACGACGAGGAGAAGGACAGCCGCGGCCGCTCCGGATACAACAAGGACGGCGATGACGACGACGAGGACCAGAACAAGGGCCGCTCCGGCTACAACAAGGATGGCGACGACGAGGAGGACAAATAAGCGTCTCACCACTCCTTCGCGCACATCTTCTTCTCCTGGGTTCCTTGATCCCCTGAGGACTCTCGGTTACCGGCTTTGCATCCTTCAATCTTTTTGCTGCGGCTGCCTTCCCAAGCTTCAATGTCTTATATAAGACGAGGGGCTCCGCCGCATCAGACTTGCGAGCTCGAAATTTCCTATCCTATCAGCATTAGACCGGCGTTTTCATCACTTGCATCCGTCCGCCCACCTCGCCCTTCCCTTCCCTTGCGCGAGCATGAAAGGTTTGGGCTTCAAAGGGTGCTGGCGGCGGCGATCCTTCTTCTTCTTCTTTTCTTATCTCATGCATTGGGCCGGAGTTTGGGGTAGATGGTAGCATCGCGACGGATCACACTCCTTCCGCCTCCCCCCCCCCCCTCCTTCTCTCTTCTTCTTTCATTGGAATTTGGGACTGCATAGCAAGCATGGCGTACTTCTTCTCGAAGAGGAATGGTTTCCTTTGTCGCATTGGCTCGGCGTTGACGGGTTTGATTCGTATCTCTCTTCTTCTCTTCTTCTTCACTCCTCCATTTCTCCTATTTCTCCTTTGTCTACGACAGATTAGATTTAGATATATGAGGACTTAACCGTCCGGGATTCGATAGTAGTCTAATCTCTATTTTCCTACACAAAACCTGAAAACGTCAAGACGTGTCAGTGAAACGTGCCAAAAACAGAACCATGGGAGATAAAATAGTCAAGACTTACTTTTCAAAAATCACCCCGAGAACCTCTTCTACATCCCCGGCCTCGACGCGCCCCGTAATCTTGGCAAGACTATCTGCCGCATAACGCAGGTGTTCCGCCGCCAGGACGATATCAGGCTCCTCGCCGTCTCCTGTTCCTCCTTCCTCTTCTTCGGAGTGCGCGACGGCCATGAATTCGTCCAGGAACCCGCGACACTGCTCGAGCAGCTGCGCCTGCCTGGCCGTCACGCCCAGCAGGTCTTGCTGGTCCACGGGGAGGGCCGTCATACCGGCGAACGACTCGACCAGGCGATCGATGAGCCCGTGGATCGCGCCCGGGTCTTTCTGACCGGCGCTGCCACTGGCGGAGGGAGACTTGGCTTGTGCTTCAGCCTCGCGGCAGGAGATCGCAATGATCTCCACTGTGCGGAGATTTGGTATCCGAGAGGCTGTTTCGTTTCTGAAGCCCTCAAGGAGGCTGGAGAAGGTGGCGGCGTCGACGGCGTCGCGCTTATTGACCACGATTAAGCAGGCCTGCGCTTCGGACGCCAGTTGTAGCGTCTCCGCGTCGTAGTTGATGCGGAAGCCGCCCTGGGGGCCAGGGCTGGGCTCGACGGCCGCTAAGACGATGATGATGTCGGATTCCGAGGCCTTTTGCTTCGCGCGCCGGATACCCTCCTCTTCGACCAGCCCCAACGCAGGTTCAGAGGAATTGACAACACCACCGCCGCCGGCAGCAAGCCTCGTCCTGATGCCAGCCGTATCGGCGAACGAGCAGAGATACCCCCGAATATCGAGACTGACCTCGACAACATCCCGCGTCGTGCCAGCCTCCATCGAGACAATGGATGCCTCCCTGCCAACAACGAGATTCATCAGCGAGCTCTTGCCGACGTTGGGAGGACCAAGCAGCGCGATGCGGATGCCGTTTCGGAGGAGCTCACTTCGCTGGCCTGCGCGCTCGTGGATACCGATACGGTGCCGCATGTCAGCGACGAGCGCGCTGACGTTGCTCATCAGCTCCGTGGGGGACTCGTCAAAGTGCTGGTCCTCAGAGAAGTCGATGAGGGCCTCGATTTCGCCCCTGGCCAAGAGAAGCTGCTCGCGCCAGGCTTCGTAGGTCCGGCCTAGGCTGCCCGAGCTGCCGCGCACGGCAGCCCGGCGCTGTTGCTCCGTGTCAGCGGAGAGAGTGTCGCCCAGGGACTCCACCTGTGCGAGGTCGAGTCTGTCGTTGAGGAATGCTCGTTTGGTGAACTCGCCTGGTTCGGCGTAGCGAACGATCCTGCTGCTGCTACTTTCGGAGGCGGAGGCGCATCGCGGGATCGCGGCGAGGACTGCCTTGACTGTCGCTGTGCCGCCGTGGACGTGTAATTCTAGTACGTCTTCTCCGGTTACTGTCTGAGGTCCAGGGAAGTACAGCACCAAGGCGTTTGAATCCAAGATTGTTGCCTCCTCGCCGGCTTGGCCGTCTACGAGAGTTCTCACTGATGCATATCGAGGTTTTGGCGATGCCTTGTTCGGGCATAGGCCTTTGTAGACCTAAGATTGAGTTTTAGTGCCGAGTTCTCATTCAATTGCTGGAAATGCTCTCACATCTATACATCCAGGACCAGAAATGCGTATTACGGCGATGCCAGCCCGGCCTTGTGCTGTTGACAAGGCATAGATGGTGTCTTCCTTGAAGATGACCTCTGACGTCGATGTGATGAATCGTGACTGAGCACTCGTGTTTTGTGGTAAATTTCGTTGGTAGAAAAGGCCTAAAGCAGTTGATGGTAACGCCAGGGGCCGAACTCTCAATGAGCTGTAACCTCGATCACTAAGACATCTTCGAGTGCATAAGGGGAGGTTTCGGCCGAGGCTCCTCGTCGATCGAATGAGAGCATGCATGGACTAGTAAAACAGTGGATCGAAAGAAATCAATGAAGCTATTATGTGCAGGACGACTACATCCGCATTGCGATCAAAAATACATGAGTGTAATATTTTATGAGATGATGGGAACGAACTGTTCACTGAACGATTGAGCAGATCAGGTTGACGAAGTTCCGATTTGGGAGCTATTGCAATTCAAGAAGTTCGATTGGTCGGCCGGGCCGCTTTGCCCCCGAGCTTATCGCGATAAGGCTCGAACCCCTGCAACTTGCCCGTTGGATGGAATTTTTTTTTGTAGCGTCGAGAGCGAGGAAAACCAACCTAGAAGCGCCCCGCCGCCTCGGTTTTCTTCCAGCACTCGACGAACGGCAAGGCCTTTTGACAACTCTCAACCTCGTCCATTTTCCGCCAAAAACCGTCACAATGGCGTCCGACGAGATTATCTGGTGAGTCTGTATTTAACAGAATTAATTGCAGGCCTCAATCCTAATCCACCCCGCCCTAGGCAAATCATCAACCAGCAGTTCTGCAGTTTCAAACTTTCCACAGAGAAGAAGCAGACGTTTTGCAGAAACGAGAACAATGTCACAGGTCTCTGCAACAGACAATCATGCCCGCTGGCAAATTCCCGTTATGCCACCGTTCGACGCGCTCCGAACAAGGACACGCTGTACCTTTACATGAAGACGATCGAACGTGCGCACATGCCCTCGAAGCTATGGGAGCGCATCAAGCTGCCCAACAACTACGCCAAGGCCCTGGAGATGCTCGATGACAAGCTCATCTACTGGCCCAAGTTCCTCATCCACAAGTGCAAACAGCGTCTCACCCGTCTCACACAAGTCAACATTCGCATGCGCAAGATCGCCGCCGAGGAGGAGCGCATGGGCGAGAAGCTGGTACCGAAGATGGCGCCCAAGATCCGGCGCCGCGAGGAGGCCAGAGAGCGCAAGGCCGAGGCCGCCGCCAAGTTGGAGCGTACCATTGAGCGCGAGCTTGTCGAGAGATTACGTTCCGGCGCCTACGGCGACCAACCCCTCAACGTCAGCGAGTCGATCTGGAGGAAAGTCCTCAACTCCATGGAGAAGGAGGGCGCTGGCAAGCGTGATAAGGACATGGACCCCGGTATGGAGTCGGAGCAGGAGGGCGAGGAAGAGGATGAGTCCGAGGACGACTTGGAGAAGGAGGTCGAGTACGTCTCCGATATTGAGGAGAGTGAAGAGGAGCTCGAGGACATCGAGGACTGGCTCCAGAGCGACGATGACGCCGAGGATGATGACGAGGAGGAGGAGGATGACGACTCTGAAGACAGCGACGAGGAGGCGGCTCGCAAGGCTGGCGACAAGCGCAAGCGCGGCCGGGCGGTCAAGATGAACCAGAAGAGGCTGAAGCAGAAGCAGGAGGAGCGCCCCAAGATTGCGGAGGAATTGACCTGGTGAGAGAGGCTCGCGTGGAATTCCAATGGCGTCTGGCGCGGATACCTTTACGGCTGATTACGGGACGGAAAATCAAAAACTGGGGGCATTGTGCATACCACCGTGTGTTGTGATATACATTATATCAAATGGCTGTTTAATATTCCTGCACTGTGGTTCTTTGCGTGCATGGCATATCGTGCTTGTCCTCTGTCTCATATCTTTTTTCACGTTTGCCTTATTCATACTCCAGTTCTCTTACTTTAATTATGTTCACTATAGACCGTTTGAAATAAAAAGTCGTGCAAATAGGCGACTGCCTGGTAGGCTGCGTGTGTGTGCCAATATCTGGTACTAAATCTCCTGTACGTAAGGTTGGAGACTGAGGTAGGAGGTGACTTGCATGCGGCCTGGAGCAGTGATCCATGCTTCACCGAGACTTACTCGAGCCGGGGGGCGTTCGGTGAAGACAAAGCACCTCAATTAGTGCAAGTTCCTTTAGAACAATGCGGGTAGGCCCAGGCCCCACCACCCTGCATCATTCCGTCGGGCGACAAGTGTCGGACCCGTCAACCCAGGTCGCTTCCCATTCCCAATCATTCAAGACCGGCTTATTTGAAACGGACCACTTCAAGCAACCCTCCAAAATTAAAACAGCACAACGAAACCACCCGCCGGCATTTAGTATCCCAACTTCTCCTTTTTCTCACTACTCAACTACTTCGATAGCGAGCGAGCGATTTCACAGACACAAGCCCCGACGAGTAGCTTTCGTGCCCCGGAGCAGAGCTCTTTACCCCAACCCGTCCGAAAACAGTCGAAAACAGCGCCTTTTGCCTCTCTGCCTTTGCCCCGCAGGATCCTCGCGGCAAGGAACAAGGCACGATGTCATCTTGGTACTCGAGGATCCTCACCAACACCACCTCTCAGATCTCGAACCTGCAGAGTCGCTTGTTGCAGAGCGAAAACGACGGCGACACTGAAGACGACACCCACGTGTGCAGAGTCCTTAGAGGCTACTACACCGAGAAAGGCCGTCCGTTCCCAGGCTGGTTGCCGCCCGACCCAAAGGCACCACCCCCAGCAGCGCCCGTCTACGCCCAACCAGCCCAGCAAGTCGGCGCACGATACGGAGGTCTGCAGCAGCAACAGCAAGCTGGTCCTACGACGGGCTTGAGCTCTCTGTGGGACAATAATGGCGGCGCGCAGCAGAGGCAGGACACGATGAGCCTGCGGCAAGGTCGCGGAGCTCCCCCACCGATGCGAGGCGCCGAGCAGCAGCCCGCGCGACTGAGCCCCTTTGCCCGAGCCGGAGACAATGGACGCGAAGAGGTGCAGGCACGACCTCTGCCCAGTCAGCGAGCGGGCAGTTATCAGCAAAGTGCGGCATATGGAAGAGACACGACGAACACACCGCCGGGCAGCTCAGCGGGCGGCTCAGCACAGGATCGGCTTAAGCAGCGACTATGGGGAGGGGCGAGAACAACCAGTCCGGCATCTGGAGGTCAAGGACCATTCCAACCACCGACGGGCAGAGGCGGGAGCGGTGACTACGAAGACCGATTTGCTCCCGGCGGCATGTACGATGGGAATGGAGGCGGCGGCGGTGGTGGTGGAGGAGGCGGAGGTAGGCCATTTGTGGCATCCAACTCTCCGTGGTCGAACAACGATCCTGGCTATGGTGGAGGCAGCGGCGGCGGCGGTGGCAGTGGTGGGCGAACAGGACTGCCTGCTGGCCCAAGACGTCAAGGTCTCCCAAGCGGTCCTCGTATGAGGTAAAGTGGATGGGATCAAGGGGTGCGCGGAACGCGAGCGAGAATACGCCTTGAGGATGATAGGTCCTTGTTCGGGGGTTCTTCATTATGATGCGGGCGTTCGCAGTCAAGATGCTTGGCGGGCCGGAGTCAAGTTGTCGACAGTCGGCTTAGTGTGAGGATCTGCGGACCGTATGTAAACGGTGGACATCGCAGACCCTCGAGGCAAGGCAGATTGCGGTTGTTGCTTGGAGACATGTATCCGGAAAGGTGCGAGAGCAGAGCTGAGGCACATACATACACACAATACACACACTACTAATCATGCATTTGGACTGAAGTCGCTGGCCTTGATGTATTGTTCGATCTGCTGGGCTTCATCAAAAAGTTGCAGGTATGTCGCCAGCTTCCGTCGTCATGGAATACGCCTCGATGCGCGAAATAGTGAGCTCGAGTGAGTCACGATGTTTACACCTAGAAACTCATTAACACGGAACGGCGAGTCCGCGATGAAGCTTTGTCTCGCGAGGCCGAATCTAGCGACGATGGAGCGAGTTGCTTGCGCGTGCAATACGTAGCCTCGGAAGGACCAACCGGAGGTGCGAATGACGACGCATGCATGCTGCAGATGACATGGTTCACCTTGATGCGCGGGTAGCTGTACCGCCACACTACGCTGAAAGGCTGCCTAAATCGCGGTACAGATACAGTGGGAACTACCCCTCCGAGACATGGATGCAAGCTTTCACAGCGGGGTGATTCAGTGACGGAAGTGGGTGGCCACGCCCCTCAGAGGGCGCGGCGACGACTACGCAGCACCTTGCCTGGGCTATTCGCCCCCAACGTCCCATATCATTAGCCACAGTTCGCTCACATGCCACTTTCCCCGGATCATCCTTTTTGTTTCTCGCTCTTGTCACTTTATTTTTCTACCGGAAACTCTAACAGTAGAGCCACTGTCGCAATAGCTCTATTTCCTGAATAGCTTCACCCGAGACGACAGCAGGCCTTCGGAGCCGAAGCCACCCGTACATCCCAGCTTACATCATCGGCGGCGCACTGCACGATGACCTCAGACTCAGATCCCCCGCCGGCCACCAACGCTCCACCACCGACGCGACCTCGTTCGCCCTCGGGGAGCTTCTATGCCCTGAGCGACGATGAGGAAGGGGACTACAACACAATCACGCATACAGAAACAGGACGGGGCGTCAAGCTTCTATTCTCTAAGAGCAAGGTATGTCATAGAAACCACTCTCGCCACCCCACACCTTACAAAGACCGGAACTAACGGGAATGTTGCAACGGCGCAGGTCTATGTTCACCCCACGCCATCTGCGAAAGATAATATTCCAGGCTACATAGCCTTACTCCAGCAGAAAGGAGGCTCAAGCGAACGACCGACCTCCTCCTCGTCTCGAGACTCTCGCAATCCACCTCCCTCCAACCTGCTCCTAGCATGGCTCCCCGAAACATCTCTCGGCGAATCCGAGAGTATTTACGTCAAGGTCGACCTCAGTGAAGGGGATTCGCCGCCTAAGCAGTCGTACCTGGTACCCCCTCCGCCGACGGTCACATCCCACAGAGGCTCTGTAGGCACATATGCTTTCGCCATTCCAGTCAGCGCAATATACTCGCTTCTCGTGAGACCACCGAGTCTGGGTTGGTGGTTCGGCTCTCTAATCATCAACTCGAGGGCTGGTGACAGTTTTCCCGCGCTGTTCTTCCACGACAGCGAATGTCAGAGCACCATCCTTAAGAGGAAGAGGCGGACGAGGGATAGCTTCGACCCATTCGGTGACCGGGGTGAGATGTTCTGGGGCGGCGATGAGGTCCTGCGATGGTTGCGGCGCTACGTTCCGATCGAGAGATCCGGCGCCGAGCCCAACATTTACTTGGTGGAGCCCTCGAAGGAGGATAGCGAGGCTTTCAGTGGCAAGCTCACGTCCAGTACGGCTCAGGCCGGCCAAAATGATGGTTCGGGGACTCGAGCCGGCGGCGCTGGCCCCAGTGGTGACGCGCAGATGGACCCCTTTGTAAAATTTGTCAAAGAAACTGGATGGAACATCATGGAGAAGTTCAGCAAGGTCACCACTTTCACCAGACGGGCTGCTCAAGACGTCATACAGAACCCGAATGTTCCCCCACAAGTCAAGAGGCTTCTTCGCAACCCAGAGGTTCAGACTCTTCAAGATGAGTTTGACAGCGCGAGGATATACCTGGCGCGCTGGGCAATGGGAATTGCCGAACAAAGTGAGCGAGATCGGAGCCAGAGGATATGGACTGCTAAGGAGGTCTTGGAGCTCGAGGATACCGATGTTGGAGAGTTTGAGCTGCTAGACGGCAGTAGCACCATGTCGTTGGAGGATAGAAGAAAGACGGTGACGCTGAAAGAATGGAACACGTTCTTTGATCCACGAACTGGAAGGCTTTCTGTCACTGTTGACGAAGTCAAAGAACGGGTGTTTCACGGAGGACTGGACCCTGACGATGGTGTGAGGAAAGAGGCATGGCTCTTCATTCTCGGGGTTCACGACTGGTATAGTACTGCCGAGGAGCGAAAAGCCCATCTCGCGTCCCTACGAGACGAATATGTTAAGTTGAAGGGCGCATGGTGGGAGAGATTAGTAGACTTGGGAGGCGAGGGCGAACAGGGCGAGTGGTGGCGTGAGCAACGCGGTCGAATCGGTAAGTCTCTATGTTGTTCCTTCGCATCTAGCCGCGACTAATATCATGGCAGAAAAGGATGTCCACCGGACAGATCGTAATGTGCCCATCTTCGCCGGAGAAGACATTCCGCACCCCGATCCCGACTCCCCCTTTTCCGAGGTCGGCACCAATGTCCATCTTGAGCAGATGAAGGACATGCTCCTGACGTACAACGAGTACAATAAGGACCTCGGCTACGTGCAGGGCATGTCTGATCTTCTCGCTCCTATCTACGCTGTGATGCAGGACGATGCCATCGCCTTTTGGGGCTTCCAGCACTTCATGGACCGCATGGAGCGCAATTTCCTACGAGATCAGTCTGGCATGCGGTCTCAGCTACTGACTCTTGATCATCTCGTTCAGTTCATGGACCCCAAGCTTTACGCTCACCTCCAGTCTGCTGATAGCACAAACTTTTTCTTCTTCTTCCGCATGTTGCTCGTCTGGTATAAACGGGAGTTCGAGTGGATGGACGTATTGCGTCTTTGGGAGACTCTGTGGACGGACTATTTGAGCAGCAGCTTCCACCTATTTGTGGCCTTGGCCATTTTGGAGAAGCACCGCGACGTCATCATGACCCACCTGCAGCATTTTGATGAGGTGCTTAAATACGGTATGTGGTCATATGAAATTCCTGTCAATTCGTCATACTAATCTGGTACAGTCAACGAGCTTTCCAACACAATGGATCTTGACTCAACTCTAATTCGCGCGGAGGCGCTGTTCCGTCGGTTCCACCGCCTGGTTGAGGCCGTCGATAAGAAGGGCAATTTCCCGGGACCGAGAATCCGCGACCCGGGGTCTCCTTCAAAGTCGGCATCTACCGACAAAACTCCACAGGAGAGTCAAAGCAGTGCAGGTCCGGCATCGCCACGCAAGGACAAGAGCAAGGCAACTGAAGAGCCCGAGGTCAAGAAGATTATCACTCCCGAGTTAAGAGAGCTACTTAGCCGGAAGGTCGTGATCTTGCCGCGGAAAGAAGTAGCGAAGAAGGGTGACGGGCCCGGAAGGTCATGAAGAACACACAAAGTCACACGAGGACACGACGGAAAAATCATGGGTTGGAAATGGGGCAGGTATGACATTTTGGGCGTCTGGGCGTTGTGCCCAGACTAAATAGCGATCGGAGGCGAGAACACTTACGCTGCAAACGTGTACGATACGTCCTTCTTTCCCCTAATACACAAATTATTGTTGGCGGCACCTATGAGAACAAGATGACGGTGACCTATGCCCAGTTCTAGATTTCCCGGAAGAAAAAAGAGGTGTGGTCAGAGGCCCCACGTGTGACGCCGATGAGGGTCCCGGAAGCCCGGATCCAACGATAGTTGAGGATGCCTTCTCCGGCTCAGCCCCTCCGAAGGGGTTCAGGGGCAGCGCAGCCGCAGCGCAGCCTACACCCTGAGACAGTTGCCCGCCATCGTTTTAGGCGGGCAGGCAGGCAGAAGAGAGACAGAAAAGGTTGTGGCATTGTTGGGTTGGGCTCTGCCACGTTCTCGCAGTCTGATCTAAGTCGAACTTAGGCCGTGTTGGGTGCATCGTTAGCTTCAATCCCGCAGGGTACGCGGTCAGCTTTTGGTGTTTTGGTTTTGGAGCTAGCATCGTTGTCCCCCCCCCCCCCTTCACACCACTTTTCAATCCCTTTCTTTTACTCTCCGAACCTGTGACCTCACCAGTTCCGTCTTGGCCTTCACGTCATGCGTTGGGTGAAAGAGTTCCGCTAGTGGTGGTCATCCGGGCAGGGGAGACGGCCAAGGTAAGCTTTGGGGGTGAGAAGCCATCAACAGAAAGTAACGGTACTGCCTCAGTCTAATGTAAGTTCAAGGAAAGAATGATTCTGGAATCGCTTGGAAGGGGGAGGGTGTAAGTAAGAGCAAGGTGGTCAGTCATTGGAGACCTCCCTGTCTATTGTTATTTGGTGTGTGTATCTTGGGCTTGCCCCCTTTGACTCTCACCTAAGGTAAGGTAAGGTAGTATAGAAGCCTGGGGTTACCACCCCCTTTTTGCCCATTGCATTACTTTTCGAGACATCACAAGGACAACTCACTCAACATATCAGCACTTGTTTGTTGGCGGCGTCACGTTCGGAACTCAGCCGTCGGCACTCAGCTCCCCTCGGACATTTCAGCCCTCAGCTTGCGACTACAACTACAACTACACCTCCTCACGCCCCCTCCTTACGGTATTCCCTCGCCAACGTTCTCAAACGACACGAAGTGACCGAGCTCAAGCATAAACAAACCACCAAATCCGCTTCGATCAAGATAAAGGGAGGGGAAAGGGGGACTCGAGAAACAAAGAAAGAAAGGGAAAATAAGGCAACAAGTCACCCTCTCGCAATTATGCCCTCGCATCACGGAGGTCACGGAGGTCACGGCGGTGGCGGTCCGGCTGTCGCCGAGGTAGTCAAGGATCGCTCCTCCGTCGTCGTCAACGAGGTCTCCCGCGGACCCGTCAACAAAGAGATCATTGTCGCGAACAGAGAACGAGACGTGGCTGTCGTGCCGGCGGGCGCGCAGGTCATCAACGAGGTCACCACCACCGAGGTGTTCCCCGGTCGTCCGGGGTACGGGTACGGATATGGGCCTGGACCGGCGGGGTATCAACTCTGCACGCAATGTCGGCGCTGTGAGTAACACTTGTCTCTTATGGTTTTCTGGCATGTCTCATCTACGAGCGTCATCATTCTCTCGCTCTTTGAATCTTGATGATCCGGGGGGTATGCCCCTTTTCTCCCGACATACTCCCCTTTCCCGATGACCTTACCCACCTAGACCTCTGAGACTAACGTCCTGATTTAACATCATAGACTGGCACAACTCCTTCACAGAGACAGTCTGCTACCGCTGCCGCTCGTCCTACGGCTACCGAGACCGCTTCGACGACAGGTTCAGCTACCGATCGGGGTACAGCGGCTCGAGCTACGGCAGCTATGGGTCGGAGCGGTGCGCCTACTGTGAGCGGTTGCGGTTCGAAGGGCCAGGGTACCGCCACGACGGCGTGAGCATCTGCCGGGACCGGTACGGCCGGCCTGCACTATGTAGACCGAGGAGGGTCCTGGTTGAGAAGACTGTGAAGAAGTATTACTACTAAAGAGGGGGAAGAGGAAGGGAGGAACTTGGTCATTCTGGATGGATGCTTTCTCTTTCGAGTCCTGGGTTTTGAGGTTATCCCTTATTCGTCCATCCGAATTCATTTCGGCATGGCGGTTGACGGGGAGACTTTGGGGTTACTTGAGCGTCAATTGTCTTCCTGTCTTATTTCTTTTCTTGCTTGCACAGTTTCTCACTATGCTTTACGTCTTGGGGGTAGGATTGGGATATGGGTATTGTTCGAAGTTCTTCTCCCAACTATTCTTGGCTTTTTGGCAAACAGATGTCACTCCCGAATGAGGGGTGAAAGTTCCATAGACTCTTCATTTTCTCAAACGCAAGTTTGTCTTGTGCGTCATGTACGGGAGCCAGCTCTTGTCATAATAACTCAATGTCAACTCACGAAGATTGTCTCGGATCTCTTGTCAGCATTGCACGAACTCTTCAAGCAACGACCCACTCCCTACCTATCCGAGAGTGATCTCCTTCCACGCCTTTCCCGGGTGAAAAGAAGCCACGTCGAAGGCCCGCTGATAAACCTTCGCCAGCCCAGCCCTTTCAGCAACACTACGATCCTTGTTCCAGGTGATGACGAACGCGTAGTACAGATGCCACTCGGACACCTCGCGGTCCTCGGGCACATAGTAGTTCCAGCTATCCAGCTCCTCCATTGAAAAGTCCCGGGCGTCCGAGATGGCTGCGAGCTCGACGACGTCGCCCACGCGGGCGAACCATGTATCTTCGAGGATCACGGTGCCGCACCAGTCGCCGTGGGCATCGAGTAGGCCGAAGCGGTGGAGGCCTGCCTCGAGCTTGGAGGCAAAGGACGGGCTGCTGCGGCTTGTTCTAGAGAGCTGGAAGAAGGCAGTGTAGGTCCAGAAGTAGAGGTAATCTTCTCGCAAAATGATTGCGGTGGGCATGGTTGGTTTGGGTGCATGTGCGATCTCTTCTGGGTGCTCTGCATCGCTCTGGCTAATCTGACGACCGAAAGGGATGTCTTCTGCAGAGGCTTTGGCGTATCCGTGCCATCGATTTGGATTATGGTGGATTTCACCCGATGACCACACGACTTCGAAAGTTGACTTTTTGCTGGCCTTGCCAGTTGTCAGTGGACGGTTCCCCGTGGGGTCATCTCGTGTCATCTTATACCATACAACCCAAGTGTGCGACTTCAACCACTCGTAAAGATTCAACAAAATACCAGAGACCATGGACAGCCGCCACGTCGACGCACCATGCCAGCCGCTCCACGACCAGCTGGGATATCGCGATCGACCACCCAAGTCTTCGAGCCTGAGGCCGTAAATCTTCTTCTCTCACAAGAGCGCAAAGTCGAAATAGGAGTCTGGCATCCCGTAAAAGAGGTTGGCGCGGAGCGGGGGAGAAAGGATGGCCGCCATGCCCTCAAAGGCCGGTAACCGATCGCTCTGTAACGTCATGAGCCTGCCGCTGAAGAGCTCGACGCACTCCAAGTACAGCCTGACCGGGTTCTTCTCAAACGATTTCAGAGGAGACCGTATCATTTCCAAGGTCCACGACGGGGTGAGCACCTCGGAAAAGACCTCTTCGGACCACGTCGCGTGGCGGCACTGAAAGAAGACGCGATTCTCGACAAAGATCATAGACCGCTTGGAGAGCATCCGTTCCTGGAACGTCCAGGCCCTGCTATTCCACATTGTGTTCTCGACGAGCCCCTCGACCGTCTTGGTGGTCACCAGGTCGATGCCGTTGCACCGGACTTTCGGCTGCCGGGCCTCGCGGGGCGTAGATGGGGATCCTGGGATTCCATGGTGAGAGCCGCTGCCGGCGGCGGCGCAGATTGTGAGGATCGAGTGTCCGTATACGCGGTCCATCATCGGGACGACGCGGAACTTCTCCTCCGTGTCGTCTTGAAGGATGCAGAGAGCGTCGACCCAGAAATACTTTACACCCAACGCTTTGACTAGCATCATGGCATCGCGGACGGTATTTGGTAGACCTGGCGTGTTGGGACCGAGGGATCCCTTTGAAGAGTACCCGGACACATTCTCCTTCGTCAGAATGAGAGGTTGGGTCCCACCCCATACGTAGCTCAGAGTCGCGTATTCAGTCACTTGAACACCGCCACGGGTGCTGGTGACGATTTTCTCCTCGTCCAAGTCGATGAACTTGAGGTTCTCGAGTAGCGAGAAGACTTCATCCGGCGGGGAGGGCTGACAGCCGCTGCCATGGTGTGTCCTACATATGTCGAGCCAGCGCCGGAGAAGACTTACGTCGGCCTGTTGAGGAGAAATTCGCCGGGCCAGGAAGGTCTTGTCCCACGTCGTGTGAGGTTCCGTGGCCAGCAGCATGATGTAGGCCTCGGTGAAGATTTCGTCCGGGCTAAAGACCTTCAAGCGGCGAGTCGGCGGCGCATGCGTCATGTCTCTCGGCCCTACAGAAGGTTCCAAGAAACGGCCGTCGAGCTGCCACTCGACGGAGCAGCGGACGCGGCCGTTATCCCTCGTGAGGCCATCGTAGCCGATTGCCTGGCGGACGTTGGGGCGGCTCCATTCGAAACGATCTGCGCCTTCTTCGTTCGTCGCGTGCGTTGCGTTGAAGAGAAGCCAGCACAAGGGACATTCGTCTCTTCTCCGGTAGATCTCGTCGAGATAGCCAAGCTCCCGCGGCTGTAGCCCGACGGGGTCGATTGGACGGGCGAGGAAGCCAGGGAGGGAGCTGGCCTTGGGCTGGCCTGAGAGGAACTTCTCAGCTGAGAGGTTGAGTTGGCTACACGTCGGGCATAAGTTGTCTAGGGGAGGGAGGCGGTCTACGTGCCCTTTGGGTGCGCCTATGGCTGGCATGTTTGCTGACTAGGGAATCAGTCGTCTGCAAAACAGTCGTCTACGTTGGTGGAAGTCTGGTCCCGTCCATGGATTCGCTAATACAACACACTGAATTCAAGTCCAGCATGAGAAGACGCTTTCTGTCCAGAAGCCATTTAGATGTCACTGTGTAGTTCAAGTCAAGGTGCGAGGCCAATGTTGAGACATGAAGAGACGCCATCTTGCCCATCTTACCTAGGCAGCTAGCTTGCAGAGCTGCAATCTAAATTGCCTGTGATAGGCTGGCACCGGCATCAAGTTCCGCTTGCGCCAGCCGCCCCGTCTGTACCGTGTGTCCCTGGTCAGCGCTTGCCACGACGATACCACATTCAGCTGCAGCTGTGAGATTGTGAGGTTCATCCAGTGTGAGTGAGCACTGAGGTCAACGTGAGTGGAGTATTTGCGGAGCTTGGGCCTTCGACGTCGGACGGCCCCACATCATGAGATGATTGGAGGTGGGGAGCATTGGATGACTTCAATGTAACTTTCTCTCAATTTCATCTTCAACCTCAACATTGACGATCATACGCAGACTTCCTTTATATATATATGAAAACCTTTCAAAAGTCGTATGCTTATATGATGAGAAAACCGAAATAAGACGGCACTCATCTCACGAGAGTAGCAACCACATCAAACACCACACTTCAAACCCCCCTCTCATCAACCAACAACCTCACATAACCGTTATCATATCCCCCATCAAGAGGTACGCCACACACCTCATACCACACACACACACACAACAATGTCAGACGATCTCAAAGACGAGATAGAAGCCCTCAACTCAATCTACGGAGACGACACCCTCCGCCACACACCACCAGACAACTATGTTCTCACGCTTCCCGGCGGCCCGGGTGCCTCCTCGCTCACCCTCCGCTTCGCCGACTCGTACCCGGACGTGCCGCCAGAGATCCTCGGCACCCACAGCGCCGGCGAGAACGCGCCCCGCGGCGCCGGCGCCCGCGACCTGCTGCTCTTCCGCGAGGCCGTCGCCGCCGTCTACCAGCCGGGCGCTGTCTGTCTCTTTGACGCCGTGGAGGAGTTCTCCCGACGCGTGGAGGAAGTTTCAGAAGCTGAACCGTCAGGACCACCCACCAACCCACACTCTCCACCGGCGTCGGCATTGACGACACGGCTTGATGAAGAGCACGGGAACCAGAACCAAGAAGCTGACTCTCTGCCTTCCTACATGCTAGAGGAACCCCCTTGGATCGTCTCCGACCCCTTCGTCGAACTCAAATCCGTCTTCCTCGCGCGCGCCGCGCCCGTAACATCCCCCGAGCAGGCCGCAGGTTATGTCCAGCACCTCATCGCCACGGACAAAAAGGTGCGCAGCGCAAGTCACAACATGACGGCGTGGCGCATCCGCGGGCCCAACGGCACGAGCTTCCAAGACTGCGACGACGACGGCGAGACGGCGGCGGGCGGGCGGCTGCTGCACCTGATGCAGCTCATGGACTTGTGGGACGTCATGGTCGTCGTGACGAGGTGGTACGGCGGGCAGAAGCTGGGGCCGAGGCGGTTCGCGCTGATTAATAGCACGGCGAGGGATGCGTTTGTCAAGGCTGGGTGGGCGGAGGAGGCGGGGCAGGGGAAGAAGAAGGGGCATGGCAAGTGAGGGACTCTGGATATGAAGGATCGCCTATCATGTCACTTCTAGCATTGATGTAGGCGGGGAAACCGAGGTCGGTCATAGACCGAATGGCGGAAGGACGTCACCGGAGAGCTTCATGAGCTGCCCGCGTCAAGATATGCATTGTAGATGTCACAGAGGGGATACCAAGGAAGTGGAGAACAAATCGCTTCGAGTTGAGTTTTGGGACCGACATTGGTCCCGTTCTCTCGCAAGACAAGACATACAAAAATTGGTATCGAACAACAGAGAGCCGCCCTCCGTAAAACGCCAATATGCCAAACCGAATTCGCGCGCGCGAAAATTTTCACAAAAACGACAGATTGCCAACCCGCCTATACCAGTTCCATGCTAGTACAATCGTTCCCTTCATGTAACTTCGTTAGATCTCGAAATGTGTGGAAAACTCGTAGTGGTCCCTCTGATTCTTTCCTTTAAAAGGATTCCCCATCTGGCAGATATCTCCGCAATGCAGTTGTTTCCTCCTCCTGTATTGCACAATCAAATGTCAAATCAGGCCTTGAAGAGCTTGGGCTTGAGGATCTCGAGCGCGAGTATCGACTGCTCGCAATCGAGAATGACGGCCCCGGCCCGGGCGGTGGAGAGGTACGACAGCCCCGCGCTGTCTCCCGTGCGCATATCCTGCACCAGGGTCCCCGCCACGCCGCATACGATGCCCGTAGCCTCGAACGGCAGGCTCTCGAGGTCCAAGAAGATGGGCGTCAGGTTCGTCTTGGTGTCGCCGACGAGGGAGTCGCCAAAGAGGCCGAGCAGCGACTTGTCGAGCAGCAAGGAAGGCGGGTCCTCCTGGGCGAGGGTGATGGAGAGAAAGCGCGGGCGCGCAGCCAGGGCGGAGATCATAGCCGTATAGAGCTTCGCGTCGATGTTGTCGAGCCAGGTTTGTCGGTGGCTGTTGCCGGTCACCTGGCGGCTGAGCGAGGGCCGCTGGGTGTGGGAGAGCTCGCCGCCGAGCTGGGAGGTTTCGCGGCCGGAGCACTGAACCAGGAGGAGGTTGTCCTCGACGTAGGGGGCGACGCTGCGCTTCTTGAGCAGGTCAAAGGTGCGGACCTGCAGCTCGGCTATGGTGGAGGGTGGCGGGGTCAGCGGCGGGGCCCCGGCGCCGTTGCTGCCGTTGGTCTGGCTCGGTCCGCGGGAGTGTATCGAGGCGGCGGGGCTGACAAAGTTGGAGTCGTTGTCGGCGAGTTCGAAGCCGCGGGCGAGAAGGGCCTTTACAACCGTCTGCCTATCCTTGCTGGGGACGAGGATGAAGTCGGAGTAATAGGTGGTGATGAAGAAGATGGGAATCCCGGCGAGAGCGAGGGGAGAAGTCAGTTCCATGACACGACCGGCAGCATCCATGCCGGCGCTGATGACGGAGAGCACGAGGTAAGTGTCTTTGGATATTGATACGGATTTGGCCAAGTCTTTTGGGAGATCCTGGATGGCCGGCTCAAAAACGTTCTTGGCCCAGGAGCTGTGGCAGACGATGGAGCACTCCATGGGGGTGACGCTAATGTTGAGGAAGCCATGTTGGCTCTCGGCGTTGAGCCCTTCTAATTCATGTTCCGGCTCTCCTTTTGACGCCTTGAGGGTCTGGGTCTGCGGGAGAAGGACGCGGAGAATGGGCTGCAGGAGTACCGAGTACAGGTCGAGGGGGATGTGAATAAGGGTGTAGTGGCCATCCTGCAGGGAGCGTAAATGCGGTGTTAGTTGAGAAGCACGATAGAGTCACAGAGGTCTGCAAGGACCAAGACATTTTGTGTGTGTGTGTCATTATCTGGTTTAGCTCCGAGAGCAATGTGCAACTCGGGGCGGCGGCGAAGGTGACGGGACACAGCGTTGCAGTGGGACGAAGTAAAGAGCCCCGCATTTTGGTGACTCTTTAGAGATTCATTCCCGTGTTGCGGTCGTGTGTGGGTGTCGTGTGCGCAGTATGAAGATGGAGGGGGGCAATGAGTGACACAGGATGTTGGGGAAACTTACGAGAAACGAGACCTGGGCATTCATTGTGACGCGAAAACTTCTGATGGCAGTTGGAGAGCCAGAAGAATGCTTTCCCGTGCGCCACAGTTCTCTTGACGAGAAAAAGGGAAAGACAAGAGGAAGAAATAGCAGGCTCGATGCGCCGGTGCACAGATGGTTTGTTGAAAGTTTGCGCGCGCACCGGGGATGATATCGGAGGGGGACGGGGGCGACTAAAGGTGTTCCTGCAGCCGGCTTCGGTTTGATCTTTTCATACGGAGTGTACGCTGCTCGGGGGTTCGGGTGTCGTTGGGAGTTTCCTTGGTCACAACCGGCGGGGTCCGATGTCTGTCTTTTTTTTTTTCTTTTTCTTTCTTTTGGGCCCTCTTGAAAAGTCCAAGAGTGGTTGGAAAAGTTTAAGCTTTCGGTAGTCGTGGGCTGACAGGGGAGTCGTCTCTTGTTATCTCTCTTTCTCTGATGTTGTAATTCCCCTTGCGTCTGATTTACGGATGGGTTTGCGGGGAAACAGATGCCTTGGTGGTGTTAAGAAAAGGAAGAGGACTGGGAGGCTTTACCAAGGCAAGGTAGAGGAAATGTGTAAGCCGGGGAAATGAGCAAAGGGAGAGAGAATCCCCAAAAGTGAAAACTAGGAAAAAGGGAAGGGGGATGGGCAAAGGTTAAAAGGAAGTGCACGAGAGGAGACGTTGGAAGGGGAAAAGAGGAATTAGGTTCGTATGGGAGGACCCTGAAGACGAGCTACTGTCCAAGGTGGGCAGGGTAAGGCAAGGCAACAGAAGCTGGGCACTACTCCGTACTCACTTTTGATTTTGGGGGTTGCCTACCTACTTACTTTTGGCACCTACTTCTCACCTCAGGCTGGGCATGATACATTTACAGCCCAAATGAGGTGAGGGGAGGGGTGGGAGGGGTGTTCAAGAGAAGGAAGAGAAAGCACATGGGCCTTGGTACGTAGGAGTGCGGCGTGGTGCTGCAGCAGAAGCAGCAGCAGCAGCGTACTTTCTGCGGCGGCGGCGGCCGTCCCAAAAAGCGCACTAGAGCACGATCTGTGCGTCTACATGCCGACGAGCACGGTACCTAGTCTACACAGCAAGATAAGCTGTAAGGAATTGTACTTCACGCAGTATGTGGGAGGAAGGGGGGGCTGAGACGAGACGGGACGGAGCCAGATGGGCACTGAGCGTGAGCATGGAAAGGAAAAAAAAATAATGGGTTTTGCGGCTTTGCCTGCTCACTGCCCGTAGTTCATTTTTCTTGCCGCGATATTCCGGGCCACTGGAGGAGGGCCTGGAGGGGGTTGCAGATAAGGTGAGGTCCGTAATGTCACAGTAGCGTTGAAACTTGAAAGCCTATGCTTTTTGGAGCCAGGGCCCCAGGGGGGTGAGTGACGACGATTCGGTGATTTTGCGCCGAGATGGCGGATGGCATTTCGTGATTTAATTTCCTCATTTCTTGTTGGTTTGACGAAACATCATTTGTTATGGCTATCACCGGTTCTAGGTTCGGGGATCGACCGCGTTCCCGTGAATCCATTGAAGGATCATGACCCTCTGTGGAGACTGTCGAGTGGAATATTCCGTCAAAGGTTGTGTCGTTTCCGTCCAGTCGCAGTTTTTTTGCTGCCGTGCTCTCTTCTGGTTCGACGACATCCTCTATATCTCACTTATATCGTCACTTCTCAAAGACGGCCAGACTCGGTCAGTACACCGGCAAAAGCCGAGTCTTGACCTGACGACGCTGACTTCGAATGAGGGCTATACCCGTAGATTCGAATGTGATACATGAAAGAACCCATCGTCTATCTTGTACCACATTACGTGCTATGCGTGGGATAACTCGTGAGAGGCTTAGCTCGTGCGTGGCTATATGCGGACAATGGCATGTCTTGGAATGTATTGTCTCGAACTATGACGAGGACGGTGTGATTTCACTCGCAATTGTGTTGAACCCAAAACCCACGCGGCTACCTACCCATCATCGCCGAGAGCTACTGGGTATTGTTCCGTTGGTTCTGCAGGTCAGAGGGAAAAGGGTGTGGGCGGAGATGGGCAGCATGACATGGCGGGGTTGAGCAGGGGTTCAAGGAAGTACAAGGTTTTGAAAGACCCATGATTGCATCTTTGGGAAGTGGGCATCTGCACTACGGCCAGCCTGTCTCTCCTCAACGCCGCCGCCGCTGTCGCCGCGTCCACGGCGAGTAAGACCGAAATTGGTGAAGCGGGTGGGGGTTTATTTCGTGATGTTAAGCTTTTTTTTTTTTTTTTTTTTTTTTTGCGGGAGTTTCACGGGGATCTACTTCTACTCAGATCTCGTCTCACATTGTCTTCTTTCTTTTCTTATCAGATTGCGGGTGTTGCGTCAAAGGTAAAGAGATGTGCTTCCATCGGGCATCGGCGGCGCTTTCTCGCGATTTTCCATCCTCGGCCGTGAGGAAGTGAAGAAACAGCGCGGTTCGGCGGGCGCTCTCGAGTCAGGTAGGCATATGGGCCTCGGGAAGGGGTCCCTCTCTCCATTCCAAACATGGGAAACCCCGTGTAAGTCAACAGTTGAGCCGCTGCCAATCTTCTCTCCACTATCAGAAAACCTAACCCTCGCGTTCCCGTTTTTTTTTCTGTTCTCTTTTTTAACTTTGGCCCTTGACATCCGAGCCAGATATTGCGACACTACAATGGTGACTTGGAATGGTCAACAAAAGTGTAAAATCGTGTCACCAATGATGAGACTGGGCTTTGCCGCGCCATGCTGGCTTTGCATCTCGCCATCCATCGCGACAGCTGGACCGTGACCTCCATGCCCATGTTCATGTCCATGTCCAAGTCGTGAGTCGTTCAGGGTTGGCATGGGGCAGACAGGCAAACGAGCGGTTAAGATGACTACTCTTGAAGCCTTGTCCTCACCTTGACTTGCTCTAGCTACCTACCTACCCTACCGAAGACTGCTCAAAGGACGGAGGACAGCAATGAAGGACATGAAGAGGAACCGGCCGGAGCTGGAAGCAAGACTGCAGAAGGAAAAAGGTTCAAAGTGCCGTTTCGGGCGACGTGCATAAGACTAGTTGAAGGGAGCGTGGGGGTCTCAAACTCTGGGCGGTTCCCCGGTACTTTACTACTTGGTAGTTCGCGTAGTAGCCGAGATGCCTGCTTTCTTCTTGCTTTAGCTAGTTGCCAGCGACTACAGAACCCCAGAGAATAACTCCTTGGCCTTGGATCAAAAGCAGGCGTATCCGTACCCTGAATATGAACACGGCATTGCTAGCCTCTCTCTGAGTCCATAGACAGACAAGATGGGAAAACAAGGCACGGAAAACCTGCATTAGACCATGACCTTTGGGGAACGACTGGGGAAGTCGCTTACATCTTGTGTAACTCGTGAAGCAGTCACGTTTGTTTCCCATTTTCCCTTTCGGTTCTAACTTCTCACCCTCTACCACTCTATGCCCCCCCCCCCCCAAATCAAACCATGATGGAAATGATGTAAGACGACGAGGTGCCCTGGCTTCCAGGTTGCTTTGTGAGGTAGGCAAGGGATGGTGATCATGGATGGATGGGTGCATCGGCCACTTCTCCGTGCCCTTTACTACGTACCTCACCTTACCTCACCTCAACCTGGGGTCTGCTGCTACCTCGCCCGTCACCTCTCACATATCAACTCTCACCACCACACGGGAAGCAACGCTGACGGGCGTCTCTCCCACAGATACTGTACCAACACACGCACATGAGCGCCCAATTGCCTGGAGCAGCATAACAGCGGCTGACCTCGGCATGCGCGTCGACTTGCTGATTGAAAGACACGAAGAGGGAAAAAAAGGCCATCACGATTCACCCTTGTTAACCCCCGCGGGGGTTTTACGACGACCGCGCTTTTGAGCATCCGTATGCTCAATCGGGTCTACACGTCAGGTCATGGAACAGGTCCTTGAAGATGGTCTTCGACAATGACACGTCTGCAGACAGCGGCATTCACGGCAGTTGTGGATTTGATCCTCTCAGCTGAACCCCTCAATCCCGCCGTATGCTCATGCTCAATCAACACCTTGAGCCTAACTATTCGTTCGAATACGCTACATCATCTTCACAATAGCAGTCCTCAGCTTCGACACCCCACCTCATCTCCGACGCCATTGCGTCAGACCAGTAGATTCAGCCAGCCCACGGTGCGTGCCTGTGTAGCGGCCCGCGAGAAGAGGGAGGAAAAAGCAATTCTTCGTTTCCTTTCTCCCCCAGGTCCGACATGGACCGTGGACCAGACCCCCCGCAGATCACAACGGTTCCTGAACCTTGTCCGAACCCTTTCCCTTCTGGTCGTGCAACTGGCTCAATTGGCCTCTCTGATTTGCTTCGAAATCGGCGCTCCATGCACAAAGTCATCGGGGTTAAGCAAGAAGCATGGGTTCCCTCCAGACGAATTTTACTGTTACGGCGGAATACCTGGTCCAATACCTGTAGGTACTGCGTCAACCCCCCTTACTAATAGGACGGCTGCTTTCTGCTACTGCAAGGTGCCGTGGCAGCTACGACGTCCGGGTTTCCCATTATCGACAAGCCGGGCCAAAGAGGAACGACAGGTGTTTGGGATGGACAGGTCCTTGGGAAGAGTACAACCTGCCGGCGAGCGCCCACGGCTCCAATTAGACGGCGCAACTCTCGGTCAACTTGTGAGGGCGCATGGTGAACCCCGCTCCTCTCGGCCAGCAATCCCACAGTCCGCCCCCATCCCACTCTTCCTATTCCCCTCCCGCAACCCGGCCGCTGTATCCAGACCAAACTCGCAAAACCCCCATCCCAGAGCTGCAACCTGGGATCCGATCCCTCCAGCAACCGCGTCCAAATGTCACCCTACCAGTACCAAGTCTGCGAAGTCCCTCGCCTGGCCGCTTCTAAGCGTTCTGCTGCTGCTAGGGCTGGTCATGGACCCCCAAATCAACGACCTAGAGAGGTCGGGAAACCTGACTCTCCAGAGAAGCATGGGTTGGGCGACGTCGCGGCGGCGACAAACTCCCGACGACGGTTGACTTGTGACACCTCCTCAGCCTGCTAGCGATGCGTCTAGGAGTCGAAGGAGCAGATCGGTCCAGCTTGGTGCCCCGAATACTCGGTCGCGGCTTACACCACATGCAGATGGGAGGTATTGGCAGGTACAGTACGTCGGTCATCGTCACCGCGCACACCGATGACAGCATCGCACACCTTTTCGGGAAGACGTTGGATCATCATTCACAAGTTGGGTATCATATGTTCAAGCGACGAGACGTGGCAGATTGAACATGATTCCACAGAGCGAAAGGCAATAATAAGTGGTTTACAGGGTTTGTCACTGAGCGGAATACCTCTGCTCTCGCTCAATTGCCCCATTCGGCATTGTCTGCATCGCCGGCGTGGGATGCTCAGTTCTCACGAGAGCACTTGAGACTCTCAGGCTGACAAGAACACGGAAGACGAGGCAAAAACCCTCAATGAGCCCACTTGACTGGAGACAGGTGATACTCACCGGTTTGCCACGATCCATCATCTGGCCGGAGCTTCGCCGAGGTCTCGACTCTTGACCTTTGGCCAATGAGTCTTTTTCATTCATCTGCTCGTCGTTTTCTTCCTGATCCAAGTCTCTGGAGAAATGCTACACCAATCATCTTCTTCCCTTTTTTTAGCCTTTGATCGTGCTTCCTCAAGTCTCCGATGGATCCCCCCGTTCGTCCGTGCTTTTTCACTTATCTCTGGTGTTGCGGAGCAGATCGTACCCGTTCCCAGATCCACAGATAGGGGACTCACCAAGGGCCTAAACGTTTTGGCGTTATCTCAGACTATGACTGTACACCCCCCGGTCCCTCGAATAGCGTCTGCCGACTTATACCTAGGCTCTGGCCAACTATGGAGTATGTAGACTCGGTAGCTTCAACGTCGGCGGGACAAACAGCGGCTAACGAAGGATGTGAAAGAAAATTTCGAAATATGGTTCAATATCGCGTGTACTGCAGTACCAGAGAGGTCTTTGGCGCGGTTCTACTAGGCTGTCCCATCGTCGTCCACTCATACCAGTGCTGTCGTTCCAACCCGCCGGTGAGACTGCCCACGCTGTAAATCACCGAATGTTCACCGAGGCACACCTACCCTACTCCCGAGTCCCTTCTCATTGTTGTCACTGGCGTTTCACCCTATTGCGAGAAATGTGCAAGTAAGGTTGAATTCAGAGCTGCTTCTGTTTCCTGTTAAGACTCGGGGGTCATGCCGCACACGGCATAGTAGTGCTCCTCGATAGAGAAGTGAGCAGTGCCGTGCTCGGCTGCCGTGCCGGGCGAGCGGCCCCAGACGTTGGTCCAGGCCTTGCCGACTGACTCGGAGTACGCTGGCTTCTCGTTGAAGATGAGAAACTGTCGGACCTTGTCGCTCTCGTTCTTCACGATGATCTCGACGTTGGCCATGATGAGAATTAATTGATAGTGTAGGTGTTTCTTATAGAAGATTGTTGATTGGAAACTCAGGAGATGAACTTGATGGAAGATGGAGGATGCGAATTGTGAATTGAGCGACGTCCAAAGAGCCTTCAAATATCCATCTTTTTTGTCTAGTACAGCTTTGTGTGCCTGTATGTCGATATCGTAGACCTTCTGTGGGTGTATAGTATCGATTGAAAGCCTTGATCGCAAACATCTCACGTACGGGCAGTTAGAATGCATGCATCGAATACTAGCCTTGCTCAGCCTACATCTAGGCACACGAGCAAACTCAGCCTCGGACACGATGCGCAGACATGCCTAACAATCACATCTCGCAATCAGACAGAGTTGAATTGAGGATGCATACAGCAACACCCTCAGCTAGCCACAATGTGATGGGAACAAATATGGCCAGACAGAAGTCGAGTGTCAGGTGTAGGGTCAGCCGGTGGATGGATGCAGGCTAGACAGTCTGAAAACAGTGACAGTAGGATCTTTCAGCTCGGCATACCACTTATAGTTTTCATGAGGCCACTGGCAGCGAGCCGGTTCAGTTCCGTACGTACGACACTTCGAAGCTTTTGGGAAACAACGCATAGTAAATATCTCGGAGCAGACCCTCCATACTGCGGACGTAGTGCCTAAAAACCCGTGTATGTATGTCTGACTCGCTATTGTATCTTCTGCTTCAGGATTGTACAATACTAAGATTACATCGTGATAGCACCTCATTCTGAGGCGAACCTGAACCATCAGAACGCGTGAAGCCTCCAAGGATATCCTACCGGACACTAGATTTGTGTGTCGTATTGACGGCTCCTAGTAGCTGAGTGAGACAGAGCAGGATAAAAGTTAACGCATGGGCATTTAATGCAGGAATTCCGCATTGAGTAAAAACAACAATCCTAAACATCACATCACATTTGATGTCACATTCTAAGGTAGGAAAGAAGGAATATTATGGATATAGATTGAGGATGAATAGCATGCCGAGATTCGAGTCCTTTAATGAACTCCAATCTTCCGCCTATCTCTATTCAAAACCAGTTTTAATAGTAATTGAGATAGTGTATACGAAGCTGCAAAGCCTTAGCCCTTGTTGTGGTCTCCCCAGTGACTGGGGTCACTACCCAACTCCAAAACGGATGAATATCCAGCTGGACACGTATGTACGGCCCAAGCTATACCCATGATAGTGGGCGAGTTCTTGTCCTGGATATGTTAATGATCCAATGTCGTCTCGTCAAAGACATTCTAAAGCCTTCAAGTCGAACCAAGACAGTCTTTCCAAAGACAGTAATCTTTACTAAAAATCCGAGCTAGAACGCGGGTCGTGGCTAGCTGGTCGACAGTCATGTGTAACTTTGTCTCTCACTGCCCCGCACTGCGAGCCGTGCCGAAGTTTTTGTAGTGCTGCACTAACCTTTCTGGTAGTCGGACGTGATCGAACGGTGGAAAAGTCAAGTTTCAGCTGAATGGGATCACCGCAATTTGCCCAATCATGATCGTATTCAGTGCTCAACATGCATGTCAATTGACATGTAATCCTAAAGCGTAATGTAGATTCTCGCTAATTGCCACCGTCATCCGTTCCAATGACGGATTTGGGCTGAGCGAGGTGCGCCTCGTCCTCTGGCCTCCATCAATCTTAGCACGCTTGAATGATTAAAAGTGACAAACCCATATCCGCCGCACCCCAAGGTTGAAGGGGTCTATGGATATTGGCAGGTGAGATATCAGTGTCCTGAGTCTCGAGAGAGTGATTGACGAGATCTATTATTGTAATTTTGGTGCCAGTAATTATCGAATCGATGTTACTATTACCAACTACTCCAATGTTACGATATGCTATCGTTATTCTATCTTCAGCTATGCTACCTACACCTCGAGTCGCTATATCATAGGGCGATGGGCGTTCATCCCTCAACGTCCATACATAAGTTACCTTAGTGTCATATTCCAGCGTCGTGAGCTGCTTGAGTAGTTAGGGCATGGCCGTGACCTGCTGTCACTTGGCAACCTTCAAATAACGTACCGCAGTGAGATCAAGCGCATTTCTCAAGAGATGCATCCGGCGGGCTGATGGTAGCCACACTGAATGGTGTCTTAACAAGGAGTGGCTAAATATACCGCCTGAGGAAGTCGCACACGGAGTAAAGTCAACCTCGTTGGACAGGATCCGAAGAAGCATTGTTAGTCTGCCAACGTTTCGTGGGCGTCTTGTGAGCAGGAGTATCTCTCTGTTGTATGTGCCTGTCGCTGCATATAGTGACCGCTGACCATGTCCCATCAACCCCCTCACAAAGCTTGTGGAAAGGAGTCTACAACTACACTCTGCTTATAGACCAGTTATAGTCTAGTAAAAGTCTTTCTGAGTTTCTGAGGCTAGCTGAACGCTTCAAGATCAGACCACATGGCAGCCACAGAACATGATCCAGACGGCCTCGCATCTGCTGACTGGTTTGGCCTGTTGCGTTCGATGACAACGTCTGAACGAATGCGGCCGCAATCCAGTTGTCACTTATTACCTGTCAGTCGTGACAGTAGCTTGACGATCATCACAGATTGTTGACAGGCGCAAGAAGAAGCCACGCTAAAGAGCCGTGACTTGTTCAATGTTTGATGTAGAAGCTGAAAATAGTGGCTGGCTGATGTAAACTTTTCCGAGAACGGAGACTGGCTGCATCAATTTTTCCACCCACGGACTGTGATGAGGGCTCACAAGTTTCGGTGTTATGCTCCATTGACATTTTGCCCACACGGTAGCAGGGTTTGGTAGCTCTGAAAGCCATACTCTTACTTTTTCATATCCTCTTGCGATACACATATATATTAAACCCTCTCGGTTGTTTGCATTTTTCCAGATTCCTTGGCTCATTCAAAGTACAGTTTCGCAGCCCTCGCAATACGCATCATCCTCCTACGACAAGCCTTACAAACATGACAAACACATACAACATTTCTGTTCTCAATAGGTCCGGGTCTGGATCGTCCGGATCTACTCAAGAATACACCATTAGCTACCCGGACGGAGCTTCAACTGGCACCAAGACGTTCAAAGTCGACGTCAATGATTCCAAGCTCAAAACTTTTGACCTTGCGGCTACCCAGGGTAAGCTCAGAAATGTGCTACCAGAGCGATATCGATCATCTGACATAATTCCCAGTTCCCTTCGAAATCAAGTTAAACCCAGGAGGTAACCCACATGCCGCTTTCACTCTTGGCGTGAATGGGGCTGGTAGAACGGCAAATGTAACATCTCAGGAGAATGGTACCTTCGCAGTTGCGATTGTGTGAATCCTACGAAGTTGGGTCGGAGCCAGGGCTGGAGGATGAGCTCGTTAGTTAAATTACGAGGAGGAACGTTAGCTTAGACATATGCATCCGTTACTGTCCTTGCGCAAATGGTAGCTGCGCGAACGAAGCCTGCGATAAGACCCCGGTGTCTGTAGGGAAATATGTTGCGTGAGCGACGACGTAGAATAACGTATAAAAGCCAATGCATCTCGCATCACTCTCAAGCATAGGTCGAAGAATTATCAATGTCCAAGGGAAAGACTTGCGGCACGCTATGATAGTCAACATTCCTCAACCATCACATATGGTAACAGCTATGTATCTCTGGCCCATCCAGGGTTTCTTAGGTCTGTCTAGATGACTTGTCGTGAGGAATTTCTGCATGAATAATGCCTTACGAACAGAATGGCTGGGATTGTTGGCTCCGCTTGTTTTTCTTTTGCCTACGAGTGTGAGAGGGCTTGTGCCCGTCAGTTGACTTGTCATTACCACACAACTGACGGAAGAGATGCATGACGTCGACTCTCTCGGGGGACAAAGCGACGCCCGCGAATTGTCCGCTTGCCGCAGTGACTGACTATACGGACGCGGCATGAGCCTTCTATTGTATATATCCTTGTCGGCGTCGGCCGTGTACCGAAGTCCAACGGATATATCTCCGAAAGCCGCTGAACAACGTGCTCGATGTCGTTGTGGTGCTGACTGTGTGGTACAGACCTGGGGATGGAGAAGAGGACTATGTCTTCTTGCTCTTTCCCCGTGGGCATACCAAGCTCCTGCCGAGACGGTAGTACGCGGCCATTGGTGGGTGACGTTGCCACATGCAGTTGACCCCGGGCGACTCCTTCGGTCCTGGTCGGCCACTTTCCAGCAGTCTTTGATGCTCTTGCTCAAAGCAATCCCCGCCGAGAATGTATGTCTCCATGAAAACCGGTCACGGAGGGCATTATAGCCAAACCCGGCACACGGCAGACCAAATTCCAGATAGATAAAACGAGCATCATCCCCTCGGTTTCTCCTGCTTATTTCTTGATACCCACTACCACCATATTCCTCGGGCTCTCCGCATATTCAAACACCGTCTCGACCCAGCAGTCCCGGACGAGGTCGTCGTGCTCCTTCAAAAACAGCCAGCGGTCCGTGACGATGAGGGACTCGACGACAGTGGCGCTGAAGGCCATGAGACTCCACACGGCCGCGACTTCCTTCTTGCGGGAGGCGTACTCCCTTTCGTACACCTCAATCTCCTCGTCCGTCATATTCGCCATCTTGTCGCGGATCACGTCGCTGTACTGGCTGTACTCGCGGTTCGTCGTCAGCTTGGCTACGGCGCCGCGGACGTAGTCCTTGAGGGACTTGTAGCACGCTTTTCGGAGGGAGCCGATGATGACGGGGTTCGTGGAGGTGTTAAAGGGGGATTCCCTCTCCTCTTCCGTCTGGTTTGAGGTTTCTTTGCCTTCCGTGCCGGTTTCGGCGGCAGCATCGCGGTGGTAGACCTTTGAAATGACACCGCGGTCGAGAAAAATCTTTTGCAGCACCGCGCGGAACAAATGACGCGTGAAGAAGTCGTCGCTCTCGGGCTGCGTCCAGTTCTGCGGCGCCTGACACGCCATCATCCTCGCCGTGATGTTCATCCGCACCCCGTGTCCCTTGTACCCGGAAAGCGTCTCACTCAGGGGGAAACCCTCCGGGTCCCGCCTCGCCGATTCGCGCACGACGCGGCCGTTGAGGGCCTGCAGGCTGGGGCGGGCGTACCCGGCCAGCTTGTAGGTCGGCGGGCCGAGCTTTTCCGTGAGCAGGTTGTAGCAGCAGCCCACGATGGCGACAGAGTGAATGGCCGGGTTCATGACAAGCGAGCGGATGCCGTAGTGAGAGAGGTTTCCGCACGAGTGGATCGAGACGGCCATCATTTTGAGGTCTTGGGATGATTCCTCCGGGAGTACCTCCTTTTCGATGCGTCCAATGACTTCGGTCAGGTCGCCGCTCTCGAGCCTGCCGACCACGTACGATACGGAGCCCTTCCCCAGCGCGCGGTTGTATCGCGGCTCAAGCTCCTTGATGGGCCTGAAATCAAAGTCCTCTGCTGCCGCTGCGGCGTCGGGCGAGGCTTTCGCGGGTGCCTTCTTGACAACGTCAGTACCGAGCCTGTCAGCCTGCATCTGCAGCCACAGCTTCTTGTTGCGCATGACGACCTCCTTGCTCGCCAGGCCTGAGAGCACGTCGAGCCCCTTTGCGCCGTCAATGTTGTGCTCGCGGCCCTCGACGGCGACGACGTGGCGGTTGTAAGGGGGCAGCGCGAGGGTACGGCCGAGGTAGTTTTGGCCGCTACCGAAATCCACGAAATGCGTCGTCTCCTTTCCCCAGCGTGAGGCGATTGAGCCGGCAAGAGAGTCGACGTAGCGCGCAAAATGGGCCACCTCGTGGACTTTCTTGGGCTTCATGCCGACGGCGACGGAGCGGGAGAGCTTTGGCGGGGGTTTACTCTCAGACGTGGTGGGGGAGAATGTCCTGCGAAGAGAGAGCTTGCGGATGCTGCGAATGTAGTTCAGGAAACTCTCTGGCGGGGCGACTGTCATGGCGTCTAATGGCAAGTTATCGAGGTCATCTCGCATGAGGAGGTCCAGGAGGGCGTCGGTGCCGTAGGAGAGAAGGAATGGTTGCCATTCCTGAGGAAGGATCTGGGAGAAGAGGCCCCTTTCGTTCGTGAAGAAGTCGAGGACGTGGACGCCACCGCAGAGGATTTGGAAGATGTCTGTGGTTGTGGCAAATTCGAGGAGCTCCTCAACGTAGGCTTCTGGCGAGGGGAACTCGTCTGAGCAGGGGAGGGGCTTTTCTGGTATCATCTTTTTTCTCAGTTTGAGGCGCTTTTAATAATGTGTTTCTTGTGTGCGCAGGTGACTCTTCCCTGGGTTGAGTGATTTATGAACATTCGATATATCAAAGAGCATGAGTAAGATTCAGTGAGTGGCTCAGTGAAAGATGGTGAGAGCTTCGTATGGGAGTGAGTGACTATGTGGAGTTGTAAATGGCGGTTGTGAAAATCCCACTTACATTAATTTGGTCAATGGAGGGGAATTTTTCTCGGTGAATGAGGGGCACACCGAGAGGTCGAGCAGGGGTCTTCGGTGACGTGCATTGTCTCGGTGAGGAATGCTCAAACGTGCCGAAGAATCTCCGGAAGTACCCTTACACTTCCCCGAAGCTGCGACCACCAGTGACCTGCAAAAGTGGACACCTATGGAAGACGGGGACGGGAGGTAGCCGTGTCCGTAAAGGTAGCTCGCACCCACCCGACCCGGCCGGCCGCCAGACGCGCAAACGTCATCCCAGGCCGCGTTTACCTAACAGGGTACCTAGATTGACTACAGATCGCCAATTCCGCCTCGACGATAGGCATTCCCTCCTTCAATACCCTAGGACCAAGCTGCAACCTTTGGTTAGAAACCACATCCTTTGTGAAGAGATCCTAACCGCAAGCCAATGCGTCCGCGGATGCGCCTTTCCAACCCTTCGCCAGGATGATGTCCTCCGCCAACGAAGAGGATCCCTTCCTCCAAGTTCAACAGTACGCATCGCATCCCTTTCGCATCCAACCACATACCACTATGCATCCTTCCTCTAACTATCACCTCTGAACCAAAAATACTGACTAAGAACGCACAAAACAGAGACGTCCTCGCCCAACTGGACTCAACCAGACCCCTATTCACATCCTACCTACGCATCCGCTCCCTCTCAACCTCCCCAACCTCCCCCGAACTCGCCTCCGCCCGCGCCGACCTCGAATCCGCCCTCGCCTCCCTAGCCGAAGACCTTGCCGACCTCGTCGAGTCCGTCAAGGCCGTCGAATCTGACCCAACAGCCTTTGGCCTCTCCGGCCCAGAAATCACGCGGCGCAAGAGGCTAGTCCAAGATGTCGGCGGCGAAGTAGAAGACATGCGCGAGGAGCTCGCCAAAAAGCTCGGCGCAGCAACAGCAGGAGGCAAGGGCAAATCCTCAGCAGCAAACTCGGACCTCCCCGATCCGAGCTCCTTCGCCATAGGCGACGGCCACCACGGAGACCACGACGACGACGACGACTACGCAGCCGAGTTCGAGCAGCAGCAGCAGCTCGAGATGATGCGCGAGCAGGACGGCCACCTGGACGGCGTGTTCCGCACCGTGGGCAACCTGCGGCGGCAGGCGGACGACATGGGCCGCGAGCTCGAGGAGCAGAGGGAGATGCTCGAGGTCGTGGACGGCGTCGCGGACCGCGTGGGCGGGCGGCTGCAGACGGGCGTGGCGAAGCTACAGTACGTGATGCGGCACAACGAGGACCGGCTGAGTAGCTGCTGCATCGCCGTGCTCATTTTTGTGCTGATCTTGTTGCTTATTTTGTTGTTGATTTTGTAAAAAAGGGGAGAGTGTCATTGGCTTGCTGCCCGGCGAGACCGAAGTAATGATGGATGGCTGGAGGGATTTGGGAATCATTAGAAGACGACAAAAAAGGGAAGAGTGATGGCGAAATGCCGTTTCTCTTTAAATTGAGGGTTTGGGAGTTTATGGAGCGTGTTTGGAACAATTGTCAATGAAGTTTTTTGTCTTTTACTACTTTGAGAGCCTTTCATCTGGGGGCTATGATAGATCTCAGTCATCCAACTCACGATACGCAATGTCTAGAGTACGTGTTTTTGTATCCTCCCCTAGCAGACCGCCCCAACTTGCTTCAATGGATGAGCCAAACCAAAGCCCAGACCCCGTGCTCATCGCAAGTCATTGTGAAGTCTTGCTGTTTTGGTTCTCTTAGGTGTATAAGCCACCCCCATGCCAGGATGTCCAGAAACGCCATAGTATGTGTACCCCCTTGAAAGCACTTCCCCAATATTGGCAACCCATGCCTCTCATGTATGTGTACAAAAGGTAATTCGTCTACCTTGGCTTTTGTTTCCTCCCCCCACCATCTATGCCACATCTAACCCAGAGTCTCGTCTCAAAACGTCGCCTAGGACCTGCAACGCCTGCGCGGCCGTGGCCCCCGGAGGGGCTCTCTTAGGAAACTCCACCAACGCCATCCTGAGGGCCGCGACGGCAGCGTTGCCGTAAAAGTTGATGAAGCGCTGTTCGTGACCGTCAATCATGGACTTGAGCACCACGTACTGCGTGTTGGAGACGAGCTGCGGCGGCGAGTTGACAATCTGCGCCATGGCCTTCCAGTAGTTTGTCGGCGGGTAAGGGTTCGTCTTGGACGCCTTGCTGAAGTCCCGGAGCGCAATGGCCGCGAAGCCGGCGCCAAGACCCGTCATCCTGTCGTTGTGCGCCTGCTCGGGCACCCAGTTGCCGTTTTCCTTCTTCCAGCCAATGGCTCTGCGGCCGCCCTCCGTCTTGTCGCTGCCTCTAGAGCCGAAAAGGACGGGGCAGGCCACGCGGAATTTGGCGATGAGGATGTCGATCATGGAGCCGCCGCGCCAGTGGTAGTCCTTGTTGGAGAAGATTTGCGCCGTTACGATGCCGACCGGCTCGGCCGACTTTGGGTTCGCGCCGCCTTCGTTGGAGAATTGCTGGATGATCGCCTTGGAGAGGATGTTGAGGAGGTATATGAACAGGGCCGGTAGCTGCGGTCCGTTGTTAACAGCGCCTTCGGCTGGCTCCCTGTTTTGCTGCACGTATGTGCTTGCGTCGATTAGAGGTGACGGGACCTGGCCGCCGAGAGATTCGCGCAGTGCGGCATTGATCGTGGCAAGCTAAGACATCGTTAGCATTTGTCTTGTGACACCAACAAGACCAGACTTACGGGTTGCGCGTTTGCTCCTTTGCCAGCAGTCAGCTGCCCAATAGACTTCCTGATTTGTCTCCGCATTTCTCCCAACTTGCCCTTCAATGGATTCCCAGGCTGTTTTGACAGGGCTTCGACGTCCTTTCGCAGCTTCTTGAGAGCTTGGTGTATCTGGGTGTACCTGTCAACAGTCGGTTGAGCTGGCACTGGTGCAGGCGCGGCAGGCTGAACAGCGGGCTTCGGGGCTGGAGGCGCTGCTGCGGGCTTCGTGAGGAAACCATTGGATTGGGTTGACGGCGTAGCAACGACCTGTGCGGGTGCTGGTGAAGGCGCTGCAGTAGGTGCCTTCACGGCTGGGAGAGCTGATGTCGTAGCGGTTGTCAAGGGGGCTGGCTTTGGTGCGGCCGGCGGCACAGCAGCGGGCTCGGCTTTGGCCGCCGTTGTGCCATTGACCTGAGATTCTTGCGACTTCTTCGGCTCCGGCTTGGGCGGTTCAGGTACGGGTTCGGGAGGGAGTTGAGGAATCTGCTTGGCCTTGAGCTCTCTCAGCCTCTCTTGCTCGGCGCGCACTGCTGCTTCTGCCTTGAGGCGATTTTCTTCCTCTTTTTGTAGCTGTGCTATCCTCCGTTGCTCAGCTTCCAACCTTTGCTTTTCCTCCTGCAATTGGTGGACCTCATAGACCCTCAAAGCGGCGAGGCGAACACGCTCGTGCTCGAGCTGGGCAGCGGCGAGGGCATCGCGATGGCTCAGCTCTGAATTACGATTCTCGGAGAGAAAATCTGCTGTGAAGCCTCGTTCGGGGCTTGACTTGATGTTGCTATCGTGCTGGCTCCTCCGCGAAGGAGAAGAGTGCGCCATGGTTGGTCGCACAGTTGGCTACCAATGGCCTCGATGGTGTGGTCGTAGGTGGGAATTGAGACCAGGCCCTACGGCATCGGGCGGTGGGGTCAGGCGCGGGATGCAAAATTGCACCGACAACCGAGAGAAACAAAATCAACAAAACCCAAGGACCCAACACACCAACAAACGGCCGATCAGAAAGAGTGACGTCCGCGGGTGGGCGGTTGGATGGGGAAGGCAAGGCAAGGCTCGGGCGATTTCTGAGAGAGTCCAGACGAGGCTGTGCTTCTTGACGTCTTCGGGGCCGTTTGGGTCAAGTGGTGTCGTCAAGCGGACAAGGTATTGGTTGACGGTAGGTATGCCGTAGAAGGCGTAGGTACTGTCGAGTTCAGGTTGGGCGCGGCGTTGGTGTGGAGCAACAAAAAATAATACGATGTATCAGGCGCGCTTTGATGTGGGATAATGCTACCGTTCGCGGCGGCCTGGGGCTCTTTGAGGTGAATTGGGGGGGGGGGGGCCTGTTGCTGAGCTGTGGGAAAAGGCGATGACCCTTGTTGCGCTGTCGCCCTGAACCTGTGTTGCTGCTTGCAGCTCTACCCTTTTTGCTCCATGGGGTGGGTGAGCAGACGAGCAGACCAAAGTGATGGAGCAGAGCAGTCAGCAGAGCAGCCAAAGAAGCAGCAATCGACCAGACCTCAGTAAAAACGAAGAAGAGACGTCGCCGTGGTAGCGACCCAGGTGGGTCCAGTAGGAGCTAGATGGACGAATGATAGCTCTGAATCTTGGCAGAAAGGAGCACAGCGTCGCCGCTGTTTGGTCGGACCGCAAAGTGGGGCATTAGCTCGAACTCGGGCAGTCACATTTATTGCCGGGCGGTCAAGAATTGAGTACGAACTTCCTCGGTCTCTGCACCGTTATCCGTACCAAAAGTGCATTCATACTTTACGGAGTGCCTAGGTCAATGAACAAAAGTGAATATTCCTGTCATGTCGTTGAGATTCTGCAATTGGAGTCGGACCCGGCCCCAATTTCCAACTGGGGAGTCGGCTCAAGTCTGGATCTGGCCCGTCTCGCCTTGACTTTCCCTCTCGGTTTTGCTGGCCTGACAAATGAAAATCGGCAATAGCCAACACGACCGTAGACTGGACGGAGCGTCCGAGAGCTGGGCATGACGGGGAAGAGAATCTTCAACCTAGTATTCGTACCGATACCTGCTCAGATAGAGTGTGTGATGCCATTGAGGAGAAATCTTGTCAGGGAGGTACGTAGTAAACTCCACCGTTGCACTGGGGGGAATACCTAGGTATGTCAATCACAGCTCTGATGAATGATGACTGAGGGATGCTGCCATGCTGCCATTGCCCGGAGCTTCCTGGTCCTCATGGCTGGGGAACCGACCAGAGCAACGCAACGCAACGCAACGCAACGACAGGAGAGCTTGCTGCAGCCTGCAAGCCTCGCTCAGGTATCCGTACGGTACGGTACGGCGTAGGGGTTCTGTTGATGTGGTGTCCAACGATGCGGTATCCATCCGGAAACACTGGCGTATTCCTGTTCCCCCCTTGACTTGAGCCCTGCATTTGGCTTGCCCACCGCGCAGCACCCCCGTAGACGCCAATGTACCTAGTAAGTAGCCGCCGCTCGCCGGCCGCTGACCATCCTGTTGCCCCGAGGTACGAAGCCAAGGTTCCTGACTTGCTAGCCCTAAGTATTTCGTTTGTGCTGCTAGCAGCTTTATGCGTACACAAGGGAAGGTCATGTAGGTAGTCATACTGTTGACTGTGTCAGTAGTCAGTGCCAGTGTGCGAGACTAAAGGGCCGCAGGAGACGGAACTTGGCGGGCGTTCCAGTCCCAGTTCCAGCCCAGCCCTCGAGAGACTCGAGACTACGCAGTAGAGACTGAGAGTCAACCCCCCTCGGCTCGCTCCTTGCCCACCTACGTAAGGTGTCTGGGACGACGACTGTGGTGCGGGTGAGATGGGCGACAGGTTAAAGTCAGGGTGGTGCACTACGGCAAGGTACTGATCAGCAAAGTATCCGAGCGGCTAACCTGTTACCTGTCCTCGAACCCGGAAGCCCTGACCTGGTTCTGGCTCTGTCTCTGGGCCTGGCGTGCAGCGTAGGTGCGGCGTGGACTCTCCCCACCCGCGTCGAGACCTGACTGACTGGAGACGTCTGACTGAGTCTTGTTTCCTTGGGTGGGTATGTACTCTCGTACAGAGTATCCGCCACAAGGTACAAAGCACTCGACCCCAAGTCAGGCTCGTTCGGGGGCACGGAGGACAGGTACTTCCTTGCTTACCTATCCGCCCCTAGAGTGCCATGTTTGGGGACAAGCCGTCAGCCATGTACCTCTAGCTTGGGGTAAGGTACCTACGGATACCTGGCCTGGATTTTGTCGTTACCTCGACTTTTGGAGGCATTTCCAAGCTGGGCTGGTTGGGATAGCTACATACGAGACCCTTGGATGGGATTGCGAAAAGGATTGCGAAAAGAGCTCGAGGTGCGAATGATGCATTTCGGATCCAGTTGTGAAGGAAGGGATGTTTTAGCAGAAACACATGTAGAGTCCAGCACGAGTACACAAGCTTCTGCTGCAGACAAGATCAAACCAAGCAGCAGCCTGCACCACCATCGTCATCATCATAATCGCCGCGTCTCCCGCCTGCCTACGTAAGGTAAGATACTTGGACTACCTACCTCGCCTGGGTACGACCTGTCTGTCTCCCTACAGGGCCGCCGTGTGTGCTATTGCCTTCTGGTAAATCACTAGCGCACCATGTACCTTGTCGTCTACCAGCGGCTCAGCTTCCAGTGCCAGTTGTGCTCCTGGGAGGTGTGCTTCGTACCCAATGGTGGGAAGGCATTCGTATGGTGAGGTAAGGTAGGTAGGTACTTTTATACTTACCTTAGCTACGGGACTGGCCCGGTGTCTTGAGTCTTCCCACCAGGCGGGCCGGCTCTTGCTGCAACTGCCTGTCCCTCCTCCACCGGGGCGGGTGCTACTGCTGTCCTTGCTCCTCCTCCTCGCTCGCTCTCTCTCCTCAGGTCTGCTCCCCCCCCTCCCCACTCCACACCCCCCCGACCCGACTCGCCTTTCGCAACAAACCCCCCGTCAGTCTCTCCCAGAGAGGACATTCCCATCCTGCCTCATCTTCTTCTTCACGTCTTGTCTGCCTCATCCTTTTTTTCCCACCTCAACCATCACTTCGCACACTCCTTGCGAGCTCCTTTCCCTTCCACCTCGCTCCGTCTCGCCAGACATCCAATCCTCTCCTCCCAATCACTCCCCAATCCATTCCATTTTCAATCCCTCATCGATCGATCAGACAAACAAGAACTACCTTCCTTGAACCAGAAGCAACCACGTCCACAAATCCAAAAGACCAACCAAGAGCCCAAAACCACATCCATCCCAGTTCTCCACTGTCTTTAGTCCGCCAACTACATACGTCAATACCTTACGTGCCACATCATCCCATAAAGCTTCATCGACGCCTACGCCGACCACTCGGTACCCGACGCTATCAATCCTACCCCCATCCGTCCTTTATACCAACGACGCACTTGACGTGCATTACAAGATACAAAAAAACAAGAAGCCAATCTTTCATCTGCGTGACTGCCCATCATGGAGCAGCAGCAGCAACAACAGCAGCAGCCGCCGCAGCAGCCAACCGGCGGCGTCCCAGGCCCAACCGGCCGACGGCTTCACATTGCGCACAGGAGAAGCCCTTCCGAGCTGACTCCGTTGATGAGCATGTTTGCCAACCCGGGTAGTACGTTGATTCGCATCTTCTTCCATCATTTCTCCCACCTTCACACATGATCTTGCGGCTCCTGCGCGATGCCCCCGACCCCGCGTCATCCGTTTCATCATACCAAATTGAACATCGATGCTGACAATGAGTCTTGCTTTGCAGTGGAACAGCTAGCTATTCAGCAGCAGATTGAGCTTTTGCAGCAACAGCAGCAACAGATCCAAGCTACGCAGCAACAATACATGAACATGGGAATGATGCCCCCCACCCAACAGCTCGGTCCAGGCGGTGCTTTCAATCCCCTGCAGCCCGGCATGGCTCCCCAGGGCGCCTTCCAGTTCCCCCAGCAGATTCCGCAGCAGAATGTCTCCATGGGCGGTCCTCCGACCCAGCCAATGTCACATCGCCGTAATCAGTCGGCACTCCCCAACATGGGAATGGGTCCTCCTCCCGCCCCCTCCTCTGGTGCATCCGGCACGAACTTCAATGATGCCTCCGGCGCCGGTCCCGGCAGGGAAAACTCCGGTGGCCGTGGCGGTCGTGGTGGTGGTGCCGGCGGCGGTGGACACCAGCGACGTCACTCTTTGGCGCTTGCCGACGCGAAGAAGGCGGCAGAAATCGCACAGCAGAAGCGCACGACATCCGGCTTCTCCTTCCCAATGTCCCCCTCCACTGAGGCCAGCGCCGAGGGTGGTGCCTCCGCCCCCGCCCCCGCTCCGACTCAACCCGAGGCTCCGATTGCTCAGGGCACTAGTGCCGGCCGTGGGCGCGGTGGCCATGGTCGCAGCCAGAGTATGGCTGTGAACGGTCGCGGCGGCGCCGCTGGGCGCGGTGGCTTCTCTGGTGATGCTAGCCAGAACGACTTTGGTCGTCGCGGCAGCCAGACTGGCGGCGGTGGTCACGCCAGAACCGGCTCTCGCAACTTTGACGGAAACTGGCGCAACCAGGGTGCTAACCAGGGCCAGGAGCAGGGCGGCTTCCAGCCGGGCCACCGCACTCGTGGTTCTGTAAACCAGTCCATCTCCAACATCGGCGCATTCCAATACCCCGGTCAGCCTCAGCTTATGCAGATGCCCGGCAACATGCTCCCCATGGGCATGTACCCGGGCCAGCAACTGAACCCCATGCAGATCCAGCAACTTCAGGCCCTTCAGGCTGCCCAGATGGGCGGTCAGCAATTCGTTGGCCTTCAGGGCGGCCAGCATGGTGGCCAGCTTGGTGGAAACCAGCAGCAGCAACAGCAGAGGAAGACTCTTTTCACTCCTTACCTCCCCCAAGCCACCCTCCCGGCTCTTCTCGGCGATGGGCAGCTCGTGTCTGGTATTCTTCGCGTGAACAAGAAGAACCGCAGCGACGCCTACGTTTCCACTCAGGACGGCCTGCTTGATGCTGATATCTTTATTTGCGGTAGCAAGGATCGCAACCGTGCCCTTGAGGGTGACTTGGTTGCCGTTGAGCTTCTGGATGTTGATGAAGTTTGGTCCCAGAAGCGTGAGAAGGAAGAGAAGAAGAAGCGCAAGGACATCACCGACACCCGTTCTGGATCCACCAACGGCCAGAACCAGTCATCCGGTAACAACGATGACAACACGCAGCAGGAGGGCGGCATTCGTCGTCGCGGCAGTCTGCGCCAGCGCCCCACTCAGAAAAAGAACGACGATGTCGAGGTTGAGGGTCAAAGCCTGCTTCTCGTCGAGGAGGAGGAGATCAACGATGAGGCCAAGCCCCTGTACGCAGGTCACATTGTGGCTGTCGTTGAACGTGTAGCTGGTCAAATGTTCTCGGGCAACCTCGGTCTGCTCCGTCCCAGCAGCCAGGCTACGAAGGAGAAGCAGGAAGCGGAGAGAGCCGCCAGAGATGGAGGCAACAACCGCCACCACGACAACCGTTCGCAGGAGAAGCCCAAAATTGTTTGGTTCAAGCCAACCGACAAGCGCGTGCCGCTCATTGCCATTCCGACTGAGCAGGCGCCGCGCGATTTCGTCGAGAAGCACCAGGACTACGCTGATCGCATCTTTGTTGCCTGCATTAAGCGTTGGCCGATCACCTCTCTGCATCCTTTCGGAACCCTTGTCGAGCAGTTGGGCCGCATGGGCGACCTTAAGGTGGAGACCGACGCTCTGCTGCGCGACAACAACTTTTCTTCCGATGAGTTCTCCGAGGCTGTGCTGCGCAGTGTCGGCCTTCAGGACTGGTCTCTCGCTAAGGAAGAGGAGGCTGCCTTGGCTGCTCGCCGGGACTTCCGTGATGAGAGGGTTGTTACGCTCGACCTCAACGGTTCTCCCGAGCTTGCCAATGCCATCCACATCAAGACTCAGCCTGATGGCAAGATTGACATTGGTATTCACATTCCTGATGTTACTCACTTCGTCAAGCCCAACTCGCTTGTCGACCGAGAAGCCAAGAAGCGCGGCACCGCCGTTCACTTGGTCAACCGCACATGCGCACTCCTTCCTCCCAAGATTGGTGGAGAGGTATGCTCTTTGGCTCCTGGTGAAGAGCGTCTGGCTGTCAGTGTTCTCTTCCGTGTTAACCCTCACAACGGCTCTGTTGCCGAGGGAGACACTTGGATCGGCAAGAGTATCATCAAGAGCACTGCCAAGATCACTATTGAGGAGATCGACTCGGCTCTGAACGGTCAGGCCGATTGGAAGCACGAGTCTCTTCAACTGAAGGATGTCCAGATCCTTAACGTAAGTTCCACTGAAACTTGCATCTGAGCTGCACTGACATTATCTAGGCTGTCGCTCAAAAGTTCACCGAGGCCCGTCTTGGTGCTGGCGGTGAGCCTATCGCGCCCCTCAGGCTTCTGCAGCAACTCGATGATGAGAACATTCCCATCAAGCACAACATCTTCGATTCTACCCCTGCCACTGAGCTTGTCGAGGAGCTCATGCACAAGGCCAACACTTACGTTGCCCAGCGTCTCGCCCAGGCTCTGCCTGAGAAGGCTCTTCTGCGCCGACAGGGCCCCCCCAATGCTCGTCGCCTTCAGACCTTCGCCGATCGCATGAACGCCCTTGGCTACGAGGTTGAGACTTCTGGCAGCGGAAGCATGCACAACAGCCTTTTCAAGGTTGACGACGCCGATATCCGCAAGGGAATGGAGACGCTTGTCCTCAAGTCTATGCAACGTGCCAAGTACTTCATTGCCGGCAAGACTGCTAAGCAGTTGTGGCCTCACTATGCCCTCAACTTGCCTCTTTACACTCATTTCACTAGCCCCACGCGGCGCTACGCCGACATCATCGTCCACCGTCAGCTCGAGTCTATTCTCTCCGAGGGTAAGATTGAGTACACGGAGGAATTGGAGAGCCTTGTCAAGACCATTGAGTCTTGCAACACCAAGAAGGACTCCGCACAGAATGCCCAGGAGCAGAGCATTCACATTGAGTCCTGCCGTGAGATGGACAAGAAGCGCCAGCAGGTCAACGGCGATCTCATCACGGAGGGTATCGTCCTCTGCGTGTACGAGTCGGCCTTTGACGTTCTCATTCCCGAGTGGGGCTTTGAGAAGCGGGTGCACTGCGACCAGTTGCCCCTCAAGAAGGCCGAGTTCAGAAAGGAGAAGAGAGTCCTTGAGCTCTACTGGGAGAAGGGCGTGCCCAGCTCCGCCTACGTACCGGAGGACGAGCGCCCCAAGGCTGCTGCGTCTGTAAGAAACGCCAACGCTGCTGCTGCTGCTCGCCAAGCGGAAGCTGCAGAGCGTGCCAAGAAGGAGAGGGAGGAGGCTGCACGCAAGCAGACCGAGACGGGCACCATCTCTACTGACGACGTCGATGCCCTTTTCGACGACGATGACGACAATGCGTCGGACGTTACTGAGGCCATGGCTGGAGCTTCGTTGGCCGAGAGACCCACACAGAGCGTCCCCGGCTCCCCGACCCGATCCGATGCCAAGCCCTTGCAACGCACCAGGTCCGACTCCAAGGTTCCCGCACCTGAGGCCCCCGAGGCCCGCCTGTCGAACAAGGAGAAGTACCTCAAGCTTTTCA